AGCTGTAAAGTTTGCTACGAGAATGATTCTGAAATCATGTTTAGACCTTGCGGTCATTTAGTTTGCTGCGCAAAATGTTCAAGCAAGCTGCTACTGTGTCCGATTTGTCGGGGTGTTATTTTCAATAAGTGTTGGGCTTTCTTCTGTTAGATTGTGTGGTATTTCATGTTCATCCATGTTCATACAAAAAAGAGGGTGGGGCAAAATAAACAAAAGAAAAGGGAATTCAGTTCGGCCCTAAACCGGTTCAATCGGCTCCAAACCGGTTCGACTGAAAACCGGACCGAAACCGAGCCGAACCGGACCGAAACCGAGTTGACGCTAAACTAGCGGCATATCTTCTAGTACAATAGAATCCGCTCGTTTTACTTGCTGCTCCGCTCGCTGCGCTGCGCTTGCTCGCGCCGCAGCTCGGCGTCGCCTTTGGCTCCGCCTTCGGTTTATGCGACCGTATCGTTACAGTAACAAAAAGCTTAAGTGAAACTGCAAGAAAAATCTCGAACGTACGGACCAACCACAACGACTCCCGCCTTGGGGTCAAGTAACACTCCCAGTTAGCAGAGATGGAATTGGCATCCGCCGTTCAGAAGAATTATCCCTACCAGCCTTCCTGACTTCGATTCAATTCTGTTTCCGGTGTGCTGTCCGCGCTGCTCCATACCCACGATATTACCGACGTCGCCGGCGCAGTGGAGTCCTGGAAACTGAAAGCCCGTCAGGCTGAAATTCCCGAACCCGCGTTCCGGAAGTCTCAAAAGCCGTGGGACATGCCTTTGTGTAACGTTTCCCTTTCTACTTTGTTGCAGGTGTTCGAGGGCGATGAAGTCAACACAGCACGCCTGCTTGCCCAGTCTAGGCCAGAAGCCGGCATCTGTTTAAACGCACAACTTTCCGCCCACATCGGCAACCTGCCGGGAGACGACGAACTCATGATCAGTGTTGGTCTTTGCCTTAGCGCCACAATTTGCGAACCTCATGATTGCGTCAAATGTCTCAAACGCGTAGATGTTACGGGCATCATGGGCTGTCATGTGTCTTCTCCGCTGGAAGACACCCGCGTCACGGCGGATTAAATAGCATCATTTGTCGAGCATGTATATCTGCCGGCGTGCCTGCAAAACTGGAGCCTCGTGGTACTTCTCACACCACGGAGCGCCGTCCGGACGGCTGCACGGCATTTGCCTGGAAACGTGGATTGTGCCTAGCATGGGACGTGACATGTGTAGACACGGTTGCGCCATACATGTCAAAGCCAACTCGATCACAGCGGGAACGGCCGCCGTGCAAGCAGAGGATAAAAAATCCAGATTGAATTTGTACCTGGTTGGCCGCTACCTGTTCGCTTCAATCGCCTTTGAAACCCTGGGCCCGTGGGGGCCGTCAGCAATCGCAATTGCCAAAGAACTGGGAAAAAGATTTCAGCAGCAAACCGGCGAAGCACGCTCGCATGAGTTTTAACGTCAGCGTTTGTCGATAGATGTTCAACGGGGTAATGCGGCGTCTGTGCTGGGCACTGGGCACGATGTAAGGCCTTGATAAGCTGAAAGAAATTTTCTTGTTGTAATTCTTGTTTCTTTTTTTATTTTGCCTTAAGTTTGATTTGACCAATAAAGTCACATACCTTCAGATTAACAGAACCATAGAACCCTTTTGTTTTACTTCCAGCTCCGCTTGTTTTGCTGCGCTCGCTAGCGCCACGTTTTGGCGTCGCCTTCGGCTACGCCTTTAGTTTCAACAGTAACGAGACATGATACACTATCAAAAACAAACTCAGTTACTGTACATTGTTACAGTCTGGCAAACGTAACAGTTATTACTGATAACGCTTAGTTTGAGTGGTAACGCCGGTAGCGGTAACGCGCAACGATGAACCATCAGAATATGAATAACAACAGCGGCAATGCAGGTAACACATGCAGTGTTAATGTTAGTAATAGTAGTAATGACTCCTGAATTCGCTGGGTTTCTTAAATAGATGTTTTGCTATGGCAACGTTTCAAAACTATTTCAAAAAATTACTCAGAAGCCTTAGAATCCTTTTTTGTTTAATATTCTCGAATGTGCGCTTTCTAAGCGTACTCCTTTAAATAAATTTGTAACTTGCAAGCCTCGTGAGCGCGAATTTCTGTAGTTCATCTTCGATGAATAACGGCGTCAGTCAGCGTTAGTCATTCTAATTCCATTTCAGGTTAGCTTTTTTCAGGATTTTTACATTAAGTTTATTTAAGCAACAATTAAATGATTGTTCGGGTAGCAGGGTAGCATGTAAAGGGTAGCAGCAACGGTTGCGGAAACCCAAAACGGTGACAATAACATGCACGGTACTCCATTACGGTAACGGTTTCAATGACAGTATCCCGCCATAGTAATCCATTACAAAACAGGTTGCGGTAACGGTAACCCGTTACCCTAAGGATTAATTATTATAGAAATTCGGTAATGATAACCCGTTGCATAAAAAGTAATCTGTTATGGTAGCAGTAATCCTCGTCTAGGGTAACGTACTGCGGTTATGGTAATTTTACTGATAGTAAACAGAAATGTTTGCAAGCGCTCTTCACGGTAAAAGTTACCTGTTACGGGACCCGTAACCATAAAACACTCCACAACCTACAGCGGGCAAAATTCCCGGGTCCAAATTTTACGACCACCCGTATATCACTGCTAGTTCGTCAATAATCACCAGGTTATATTTTACGTTACCGTTCCCCAGTACTTCTCCACCCAGAAGTCGCTGAAAAAATCAGCCCTGGGTCCAAATTTTCGTACCCCCGGTACATTACTACGGCGGGATCGTCAATAATGAAAGTGTTATAGATAACGTCACAGTTCCCCAAAACCGCTCCACCCGGGGATCGTTAAAAAAATCCGGCTCGGGTCCAAATTTCCGGACCCTTTGTACATTATTACGGCGGGTTCGTCAATAATGACCGGATTATAATTTACGTCACGGTTCCCCAAAAACGCTCCACCCGGGGGTCGTTAAAAAAATCCGCCCCGGGTCCAAATTTCCGGACCCCCCGTACATTAACACGGCGGGTTCGTCAATAATGACCGGGTTATAATTTACGTCACGGTTCCCCAAAACCGCTCCACCCGGGGGTCGCTAAAAAAATCCGCCCCGGGTTTAAATTTCCGGACCCAACTACATTACTACGGCGGGTTCGTCAATATTGACCGGGTTATAATTTACGTCACGGTTTCCCAAAACCGCTCCACCCGGGGGTCGCGAAAAAAATCCGCCCCGGGTCTAAACTTCCGGTCCCCCCGTACATTACTACGGCGGGTTCGTCAATAATGACCGGGTTATAATTTACGTCACGGTTCCCCAAAACCGCTCCAACCGGGGGTCGCTAAAAAAATCTGCACCGGGTCTAAATTTCCGGACCCCCCATTCATTACTACGGCGGGTTCGTCAATAATGACCGGGTTATAATTTACGTCACGGTTCCCCAAAAACGCTCCACCCGGGGGTCGCTAAAAAAATCCGCACCGGGTCTAAATTTCCGGACCCCCCATACATTACTACGGCGGGTTCGTCAATAATGACCGGGTTATAATTTACGTCACGGTTCCCCAAAAACGCTCCACCCGGGGGTCGTTAAAAAAATCCGCCCCGGTTCCAAATTTCCGGACCCCCCGTACATTACTACGGCGGGTTCGTCAATAATGACCGGGTTATAATTTACGTCACGGTTCCCCAAAACCGCTCCAACCGGGGGTCGCTAAAAAAATCTGCGCCGGGTCTAAATTTCCGGACCCCCCATTCATTACTACGGCGGGTTCGTCAATAATGACCGGGTTATAATTTACGTCACGGTTCCCCAAAAACGCTCCACCCGGGGGTCGCTAAAAAAATCCGCACCGGGTCTAAATTTCCGGACCCCCCATACATTACTACGGCGGGTTCGTCAATAATGACCGGGTTATAATTTACGTCACGGTTCCCCAAAAACGCTCCACCCGGGGGTCGCTAAAAAAATCCGCCCCGGGTCCAAATTTCCGGACCCCCCGTACATTACTACGGCGGGTTCGTCAATAATGACCGGGTTATAATTTACGTCACGGTTTCCCAAAACCGCTCCACCCGGGGATCGCGGAAAAAATCCGCCCCGGGTCTAAATTTCCGGACCCCCCATACATTACTACGGCGGGTTCGTCAATAATGACCGGGTTATAATTTACGTCACGGTTCCCCAAAAACGCTCCACCCGGGGGTCGCTAAAAAAATCCGCACCGGGTCTAAATTTCCGGACCCCCCATACATTACTACGGCGGGTTCGTCAATAATGACCGGGTTATAATTTACGTCACGGTTCCCCAAAAACGCTCCACCCGGGGGTCGTTAAAAAAATCCGCACCGGGTCTAATTTTCCGGACCCCCCGTACATTACTATGGCGGGTTCGTCAAAAAGGACCGGGTTAGGTTTTGAATTTTAAAATACCTTCTCAATTGTTTCAGCGGGGGCTGCGCCCCCACTATATTAGGGCTCCGCCCCAAACCCCGGCCAGGGGCTTCGCCCCTGGACCCCGGGAACCCGGCTCTCCGGTTCGTCACGTCACACATTTTAAATTAAAAACGCTTCGCTCGCTTGATTATTCACATTATCGACGGGACTGCATACGCGCTGTGATGGATGGATTCCCAACAGACAATTTTTCTAGCAATGGCAGTTCCAGTGCTTTGTTGGAAGCGGAACCGGAAGTAGTTCTAGCAATGCCAGTTCCAGTTTGCAGTATAGCCTAAGTTATCCAGTAGTGCTAATTCCACTCCATTTAGTGACGGTAAGTGTAAACGGAACTGCTGTAACACGTCATCTCGGAGAAATGGGTTAAGGCGCGGAAAATGAAACCCTGTGATTTTTCGCAGTTCATCAAAGCTACGTACAGAGATCCAACTAGTGTTCCAGATTCTAGCCACCAGAGCGGTGTATGCGTGGAATACTTCGCTGTGCGATTTTGCGGAAATCGCCGATGAAGTGACGATAAAATTTTGTAACCGTATCGTAGTCGTAGTCAGATATCATATCGTTACCCCAGTTTCGGCTGTTTCCATTCTGTTACAGTGTTACTCAATCGTTTGTTAGCTTTCATCTGGTTGATGTTCTTGTTTTGCCGCCTTCGTTTATACCTACCAACAGTTATGTGAAATCTACTGAACGAGACTTCGTTGGGAGGCCCACAAGCTGCTCGTTGTCGCCCTGAACGCATTCTTCGTCTGTGAAGGCTGCAGTTCAGCCTCACGGTGTTTTGCTGCCTTGTGAACGTGTTTGGGTTTGCTCGTCGAGAACCTTTCTAGGTTCTTACGATGAGGGGGAACGGACTGTTTACGCTGAAAATACCTGAAGAGTTGTGAAAGGAGAGCCGCTTGTGCGGAAGGAGATTGCTTGGTCAAGTAACAGGTGAGTAATTAGTAAAATTCATTTTCCTCACATCTGGTGCCTGTAGACAGTGTTTTACTGTTCTTTTGCGATTGCATAATGTATCAGCTAACAAACTTATGATATTAAAATTAATATGTAAGCAAGTAAAATAATATTTAATAGTTTTAGGTCGTATAGTAAAGAGTAGCGTTAGTAAGTACTTTATCAGTTGCCAACTTGCCGTTATGGGTAACCAATAGTCTTTTTATTACACGGGATTCTCAGATGGTCCTGGTTGATGTGATTAAGCTTTTTATTATAAAGCTTGCTGATATTTTGCTGTCCTTTTACCGTTTAATACAGCTCAGAAAATTTAAACGTACTCATTGGTGTAGAATTCGGATTTCGGATACTCGCAGTCTTTGTCTACAAACTTTCGCAAAGTTTTTTTCGCCCTGCCGAAGTTATCGATGGAAAGTACTTCGATTTCTGGGTTAAATTCTGACTTGATTAACCTGCTGATGCTCTTGATGATTTTCGGACTTGATAATTCATAATACGTAATAAGATTTTCAAAGATCATGGATCATATCAGATCATATCACTTATGGTGACTTATTACCATCGATAAAACAGCTGACTGTGTTCTGACAGTGAAATGTTGTGGTTTACCGTTTGTTTTATTTTTTAATGGATAGTGATTAATTGTTATTTTAACATACATGTAGTTTTTTATGATTTATTGTAACATTATAATGATAAATTTCATGTTCTAATGATTTTTGTGCAAAATTTTTATTTTTTAGTACCGAGTATGCATTGGATGAAAGTGTGGAATGGTGGGCGCAACGTATTATTTCGCCGTGGAAACTGCGGACCTTCACCCTTGTAAGTGATTAGCCGAGCACGAGATTAGGTTTGTTTTTAGATCTGCTGGTCTATGCACAATTTTACTGTAGAAGACTTCCACGACACTCATCAGCGCAGACATCGCCCTTCTTCACGTGGAGACCCACGTTCCTGGCTGATGTAAGCGCCGCAACCGACATCGCGACAGCAGACACTTTAACCATTAATATTGATTACATAACTTCCACATACAGACATTTCCTGGAAATTTATTTATAATATTTTGTGTAATTTACTTGGGAATTTATTTATACTTATTTAATAACACTCAGTTGTCTTGGTAGCAGGAAAGCCCCGCTGACCAACCGATCAGCCTGCGCTCCCTACTCTACCGTGCCATCCTCGCAGCGGAACGCGGTGGCCAGGAAGTGATCAGCGTCCAGAACTCGGGCCATCTGGCCACTCGCAGCAAGAGCATCTGCTTCAATCCCGTTACATTGGGCGATATTCGCTCGCATGTGGCCATCAAGGGCACGCTGAGACAGGCCTTTCCCTCTCTGACCATTATCTCCGAGGAGGATGAATTGCGCCTGGACAGTGATGCCGACTATCTGGATGGGAGGAAGTTTTACGAGGAGGTTCCGGCGTGGTTGACGGAGACGGTGCCGGTGGATGAAGTGGTGCGCAGTGGCGATGTGGCGGTGTGGATTGATCCTCTGGATGGGACCAAGGAGTTCACAGCGGGACTGTATGAATGCGTCACCGTGTTGGTGGGGATTGCGGTCAAAGGGCGACCGGTGGCCGGGGTCATTCACTGCCCGTTTCCTGAGGGCCGGACGTACTGGGCATGGGAGGGCAAAGGAGTTTGCTCCCATTTGAAACATGTTCACACCAAAGGTATGTAAATTCCCATCACAAGTTTTGTATTTTATATTTGACTAAAAAAGAGCTGTGGCTCCAGGCAAAGTTAAAGGCAGTTGTAAATCATTAATCACTTATCTCCTCGGAAAAATAGTTCCCCCTTTATGTAACAAGTGAAGTGCTCATGTCAGAAAGATAAATATTAGCTTTTTCAAAAGTGATTAGCGATGAAGAAAAAATGTTAAAAAAGTGAAATAACCAAACTATTACTTCGGCTTCTTTCTACTTACTTTTTTAAACAAACTTTTCCTTTAACTTCTGAAAAAATTAGGGGCGCATAAATATTTCCTTTATTTTTATAGATTCCTGTCCGAACGATGTCCTGCGTATCGCCGTGTCCAAGAATCCCATGAATGCTGGCGAAGTGCAGCATTTCGCGGAGAAAGCCTTCCACGGGCGCAGTTTCGAACTGGTGCCAATGGGCGGTGCCGGATACAAGATCGTCCAGGTGTGCACGGGTGCGGTGGACGGCTATCTGCACATTACGCGGAACATCAAAAAATGGGATATCTGCGCGGGGCACGGCCTGGTGTCCGCCATGGGTGGGCGCCTGCAGGGATTGTGCGGCCAGTCGGTGGACTACACCGCGCCCGTCGACATGAAGGAGGATGTGGCAGTGCGCACGGGATTTCTGTGCACGATGCATGATGATGCGGGGCTGTTTGATGGATGTCGTAGTGCTGTTTTGGGTATTTGATTAATGTGACAGTGGCTGTCTCGGTTCTGAATTTTTCTTTGTTCTCTGTGGCTCATTTCTTGTAACGCACACTGTGGAACTTTTTGTTCGATTTTAACTTTTTTTCGAATCGTGCCTGGATTATCCGTAATGAGTTTACTCGGTTACTGTTAACTTCAAGTGACAGCGGTTTCGTTTTCCTTCTTTTATTGTATTGCAGTCCTTTAATGTTCTTTGTTTGCAAAATTAATCCTTTTTCGGCTTTGTGACAAGCTGAATATTTCATGACCATTGAAATTGAAAGTTATGTACTTTGTCAAATAAATTAGCGGGATGAATTCGTTCCGATCTCTGTGTATTGTACTCGTATTCAGTACTTTTCTTTGGCAAGGGCTCTTTTGACGTGAGAGTATGTGCCGGCAAGGTTGGAAGGTATGGCCGATTCCACCAGGGATGTGGGGATTTTGCCGCGGATATCGGTTTGCACGAGCTGGATGAAGCGGGTTTCGTCAGGCTTACTGCAAACCATATGAAAACTTATCTGAAGGGATCCTCTTCTCTGAACAAGCTGTAACCACATTACGACATAACTCGACAGCAGAAAAATATGCAAATATAGCTAGCAGTCTAGCACGTAAACGCTTATGTATTTGATTTACTTTTACTTAACATTCTGCTCTAAAGTTGGGAGCTCTGAAGTTCTGGTGTAGAAATTGCCTACCAGCAACAATCCCTCTTCACTACGATTGTGGTGCAATCTTTTGCATTGTAGATACCAATGGTACATATTCTGTATAGTATACTTATCATATTTAATTTACTTGTGATAATTATTGTAGGATGCCCATATTGTTAAAATAATTATTATAGTCGAACTACTAACTCATTATTAAGAAAACATTAATAAAACAATAAGAACTTCACTTAGTGTACGGACGTAAGTGGGTACTCAGCACGGAAAAAATAAAGAAACCACTTTTTAAAAAAATAGTTGAAATTACCCCGATATTCTGTAGCAAAATGTGGCGCTGGGATGGTTGAAGGCGCGTACATGGTGCGCGGAATGCGGCACATCGGGATGTTCGATGCTGATGGCGGCGGTGATGATACGCTCCGGCTCATGTATAATTTTGACCAGGTCAACAAACTCCCGCGCTCCAATCAGACCCATAACGGCGGAGGCGGTTTGGGATAATATCACATCCACATCCTGTTGTATAGGTGTTTGTACATGAAACATTCCTTCTTTTTAGAATTACGGTTCTGTTTAATTATAATGTATAGTGACTTGTATACATATACGTCTACTAAACACTTGAGTACTTTTTTATTAGATATACAGAGTAGGCTACTCTTGCTACGAGTAGGATAGCTGACATTGTTTCCGTACTGAGGATACTCTTTCGATAACAGCCGTGTTGGTCACTGTGGGATCCCATTCTTCGCGCTTCGGTTTCTCCACACCGGCATAAGTGTAGGCGAAGACTTTCTCCGGGCTGAACGGAATCAATCCCTCCGAACGATAGCTGGAAAAAGCACTAAGTATATTTATCAACGCAAAACTTGATTGCTTGTGACTGATTCTTTCCGGCAGTCACGGGCAGTGATACTGTTGAATATTTTCAATTGCAAAATTGAATTGTGCAGGTTGCTGAATCAAATCACAGTTCGAAATTACCGTTTCCTGTATTTTTTGTTATTGTTAGTTTGTCATGGGTCATAAAATTTTTATTCCAAACCGGCTTATTGGATACCGGTATTGTACACTAATTACTATTCAACCAACCAAAACGATGTGCCAAATTGAACATAATGCACTAGCTGACCAGCAACGGACTGTATTTTTAGCCGGCTAAATTTGCAACTTACAGGTGATGTCCAGACAGATCCGGGGATGGTTTGGAATAAACAATGCAATCCCGCTATAAATGCAAAAAATAAGAATGAACAGCCACGAAATCAGTGTAAGCATTGCTAAAATACGTACATACGAGCATAAATCATTAGATTACGTTGGCGAATAGTGCTACACTACTGTGAATCTGTGATCTTACTGTTTCTTTGACTTTCGTCCAATCCGTCGTGCAGGCTTCCAGTTCCAGACAACGTTTTGCGGTTTCCTCGGCTTTAACCAATAAATCCATAATAATTATTTAGGTGTTGATTCCGGGACACGTATACGAAAGCGCTACAAAATAATTTAATCACTGTTTCTGCTTTGTAGTTTCGGTAGAAGAACAAGTATTCCTAGGCAAGAAAATCGATCCGATAAAGTAAAGTATTCAAATAATTAAAAGGAACACTGGCTTGGAAGATGCAGATATTATGCCTTTCTTGAGGAGTATGATCGAGAATTTCGCATGAACATCTGCGCGTTTGTAAAACGCCGATCTCCGTACCGTCGCTGCCTCGTCCATAATTTTGGATTTCTCACATAATTCAATATGTACCTGGCTAATAATACAACCGTATGCGCACACACAATCGAGGGTTTCTGTACGGCTTGCAAGCTGCAAGAAAAATCTGAAGAATTATTCAATTACCGATAAAAGCGATCAAAGGTCATGCAACACGCGACAAACGCTATTTATTAACTGTTTGTATAGGAATTGTTCATACTGTGCATACTGCACAGTTTGTACAATAATATACAGTACTGTAATGCATATCCTGCATGCTTGCGTAAACTCTCCAGTTGTAAAGTACAATTAAAAATATGAGTATTGTATAGTACCAGAATAAGCGGTAAAGCAATTTAATTAAAGTACTGTAAGATTGGCTATTTACAGTTTTGTAATGCTGCGGTCGACTTCAGAGTTCCGATCCATTTGCACTGCATAGTTTGCGTAATATGAACAAGTATAATTCAAAACATTTATTCTGTATCCTTCGTGTACGTACAAATAACGTATCTAACGTAATGACAATGTTCATTGATAAATGTTTTTATTTTTGCACAAACTCTAAGTAGCAAATGTAGCGCACTGTTGAGTATAACATTAATCTGCACGTAGCTTCGATTCGGAGATATTCAGACATTTCTGAGAAAGTTCCCAATTACAAGATCCATTTGGATTGTAAGAGAAGGTATAAAACTAGCAATAAAAAGTATCATCAGTTAGCGTCCTTCGCAATGGCGGTTTTTAATTGTGGATATGTATTAGCCATAGCGGAAGGAATTGCTGATTCGACAGCCGATGAGGGGAGCATTCCACGCAAGTCCGTTTGAACGTACTGGACGAAACGCGTTTCATTAGGCTTCCTAAAAATTTGGAGCTCACAAAACCATCCAGTGAATGACCAATATATACAAAAAAAGCTTATTGTTAGTAGTCAGTTCGTACACGCACGCATGTAAAACTATAAAAACCATAACAAAACTAGAAACATAATATTATGAAAACTAGAAATACTAGTATATTTTTTCGGAAAAGTGCGGACGGCGACTGTAAAAACAAACTAACAGACTTTATAAGAATCTACTACAGTATTGCATTAAGATGAGGTTACTGGGAAAACCAATACCCTATCACTGTTTTTAAGTTGTATGGGTAACAGTATTGAATAACAGATAGCGCTTTTCCACAGCATCAAGACGTTCATACCCCGGTATGCGGTAACAAAAAATGGACTGTGGATAATTGAAGCCGCGAACATGGTTTTTCGAATGGGGAATGTTGGGATGATCGATGCTGACCGCTGCAGTGAATATCCGGTCCGGCTCACTGGTGACCTTAATGAGATCGACGAATTCGCGCGCACTAATGATCCCCATCAAAGCCGGTGCCGTGTGCGAAAGAATAATGTCGATATCCTATTCAAAAATTACGTTAGCATACGTCAATTTTAATGGGCTACACACGCCTATCGATCGAGAGTTCCTTAATAATTGCTTTTCCATGCCATATATAAGGAATCAACAAATATGTCTGTGCGAGTACAGTTGATTACTGTAACTGGGTCGGTCACTGTAATTTATTCTGGAGTTTCTAGCCAGTTTAATCCGGTTGTTTGCTATCAAATTTGATTATTTAAATTTTAACCGCAGTAAAATATACCGGTGTTGGCTTTTCGATGACTCTACTGTCGGTGATGGAGGAATCCCATTCTTTCCGCCTCGGTCGCTCTACACCCGGATACGCGAAGGCGAAAACCTTATCTGCAGCGGCTGGAATTATTCCTTCGGCTTTGTACCTACCCGTAGGATTACAGGAAATTATTAATTTGTGCATCAATGTAAAGCATGCATAAATATAAAAAATTCTCTCGATGCAACACCAATAATGTACAAATACACAGGTACAAAATTGTTTAACGTGAATCAAAATATACGTAATCAAAAACATGTGTGATGTGTTGCCGAAACTGGCAAAGTTATCAGACAGCAGTATTAGACAACGAAGGGAATATCAGTGCGAGTACATGGATATTGCCGTAGAAAATTAAGTATGCAATTTGGTCAAGCTAAAGTAAAATGAATTAATTTGATCAAGTACAGGCGACCGGCGCGGCCAGTAGTTACAAATGTTTTGACGAGCAAAGCCCGCAAAAGAAAAACAACCAGTTTGTCAATGAGTAATATCCCGGAATTTTTCCATTGTTTTACAGGTACTTAAACGACTTACAAGTTATGGCCTTTGAAATCATCGGATGGTCGCGAATAAACCGTGCAGTCTTTCTAAAATGAAGAACACAGTAAAATGTCAGGATCAGGCTGAGAAAACCGATGCTGTCTTTACCGTTTCTTTCACTTTAGTCCATGAAGTATTGTCAAGATTCTCCAGTTCCAGAACGCGCTTAACAGTTTCCGCCGCTTTTGCCACAAAATCCATTGCCGCTGTGGTGATGGGACAGATGGGTTGAAATAAAACACGGGAATGATGACAGGAAAAAATCGGCTTGTTGTTGGTCTAACTTTTGCAGTGGTATTGTAAACCATGCGGATATACCGTGCTGTTAGCAATGTTGGCGTATCGGCCGTATCCGGACGCCGTGTTGTGTCTGACTAAAAAGTCTTGTGAGTTTCTCTCACCTTGGCAAAGTGAAGAAATGTCTAACGAAATAAGTAAGCATCCGGAAGAACCGCGGCACGGTAAATAATATGCATGTACAGCTGCAGTATTGTGCGCTGCGCAAGCGGAATGTAAAGCCAAGCCCGGCAAAACCGGTTATTTTCAAACCGGGTGCGGTGGATGAGACGATTTGTTTAAAAAGGCTGACACTTGCCAGATGTCCAAAGTTGAACAACTTGTGCTTGTAGTTGTTTCTATGCTGTTTAAATCCGGACAGAGTAAGGAAACTCGCGAACATGCTAAAAACTGTAAATAGTAAACACGTAGGCTTAATTTCATTCATGAATATTTTTTGTCGAAATACTGTAAGTACTATTATAAGTCAGCGGGCAGAATATGCCTTATTTTCATAATTTTTGTTGTACAAACAAAGCACCTGGGGCTATCTCTACGAGTAGGTTTGTTTCGTGCACTAAACGATGCTTTCAGTTACTTAACTGTTTGCAACTAAATGCTTCTCATATATACTCGTACAACTACTCTGCACAACACGAGTGTTTCAAAGTGATCACGGAAAATTTAACTTTTTCACTTCTTTCACCGGTTTAACCAATAAATTTCAGCCTTTTCTGTAACTGAATACAAAATTCACAAAACGTTAAAATTCATGCAGAATCAAAAGAACCGCAATGTACGCATAAAAATGCGGTGTGCTGACACTGACAGAAAAGATAAATCCTAAGAAAGTCAGTTTGAATTTTTTTTAACTTTGTTGTGTGAGTAGTAACTGGTAAGCACTACTATGGTCAGGAACTGCAATAAGTACAATATGTAGATGACCGGGATCTCATCATTTCTGCATTGGTATAAAACCCGAAGCGCATTTGCAACTGCTAATCTTTGCTGTCCTCAGCCTGTCACACGTTTGCGCCAAAATTACTATGAGTCGTTGTCGTCCTCGACAAAACGCGTGCGATTTTAAATGCGTAATCAACAAGACAAGATAATCGTTTACGCGCAGGATGGTCTAAAGGACTAAAAAAATTGTGATCTGGACTCTTCAACTCAAGTTACACCATAACGGAACTGCTCGGTGCAACGACAAACTTCGGGGATCTTTATTTCACTTTCACAGTAAACTGCAGCCACCAAAAAGAAAACAAATCTATTGTTTTACGAGAAATGTGTCTTCGGTCGGCGAGTAGTAAATCGTGGCTTGTGCAGATCGGTGTTGACACGATGTGGGAGCGGGAATCTGATCTTAGAATCCTGCAAAAGAACCAACCACCAATTAAGGACGATAAACTGCAGCAAAATATCACATCCGTCTACCAAAATTCAACTTCTGCCAGTTGTATTTCCATACATAACAACAAACTGCTAAACTCCCAATCAACAGAAAAATCGTAATCTTACTAACAGTAAATAAGGGTGTATTAGTTCAATCAACAATGGTATAATACTCCTTATCACCGTTCACGTAAAAAAGTCGAATAGAGCGAAAAAGACAGGACTTTTATGAAATGAACATCATCAGACAAATGCCTCAAATCCGCATAGATCCCCGTGGGATCTTGGACTCGTCATCTTGCGTCATCACAATGCTCAATACAGCCAAAAAACTCCACCAAAACATTCAGTGGTATTATGGATAAAGCTATAACAGTGAATAAGGTAGCCCTGAATTTAGCGGATTATTACGGGCACTTACGTGGAACTGTTTGGTAGCTGGTCGTCTGCACTGGGATGGTGTAACTTCCTTAACGGAGATGACTTGGATAGAATGCGCACGAGCGCGATGACGGGCTCCCATATCACGGTCTACATACAACAATCCTCGATTTTCTTACTTGATAAAGGTATAAATCAAATGAAAGTTAACGTTTTGAAAATCATGCCAGTCCACTTACACATCTGGGTGACGGCGCCTGCCACAGTCACATCACGATATTCGCGCACCATGTTGTGTGTTCCCGAGCGCGAGTCATAGCGCAAAAAGATGGAAATATTCCTGATTTTGGTGGGCTTCTTGTTAGGCACCTAGAGCAATCAGAACATCGTTAATTTTCTCATTGAAAACCATGCATTATTTTTAACAGATTGAAAATGAATAAAAACAATCAAATCAATTAAAGCAGTAAACCGGAAACCTTGCGAAAACTTCAAGAGAAAAACTGGAATTTTTAAAACAAACTTTACCTCTTCGCAGCAAACAATTTCTCCGGTGGATTTCTTCATCTTCTTCAGCTGTCGACAAAAGTACCAGTACCGGCTCTTAGCCACGACTTTGTCCGGAGCGAAAATCCTCATTCTGTACAGCGGAGGATTGGCCTGATCGGGCTTAGGCAGAGCCCTGCCGATAACTTTGAATTCCTTCAACTGCAATGGACAAAAACCGCGTCAATATCACACTTTGAAGTTCAGTCCTGCTTTCCATGACATAGAAAGAGGATGCGACAAACTGCATTATGATTTTGCATCATTAAGGAAGAGGCCCTGGCATAGATATCCAAGCCTAACACGCGTGTGATGCTGAAATTCAGCGTGGAGAACTCCACCGGGTTCTTCAACGACTATCCATATGACACTGCCAAGAAGTATACAACTGCTGATAAAAATTCCACTTACATCTCCGCTCGCTTTCATGGTTAAAGATTTCGGATCTCAATACGTTAATTCCTTAAATCCCAGGCTAGGGAACTCAAAAACTTCCAACCTGGAGATGACGGGAAAAAAACCTCGACAGTCCACGAACCGTCATTTGCGGCGAACGGGTACACGGCAGATGCAGCATGAGCGATATTCACTGTATACTCACTCTGGTGATCGATATTCAGTATACCCAATCTGAACAGTGTGCGCACAAATCGATGATTCCAGTTCCAGTGTTACCGCTTGTTATTTTAATGGGATTCACATTCTTGCTGTAAAGCTGAGCTGCTGATGGCATTGGCTGGGCCCTGGTATTGGTATATACGTCATTAATTTTTTTTGAAGTTTTTGTCCGGAAATCGACGAAGAGGGCATCGGCCAGCGCTGGCTAACTGAATCAGGTGTTGCAATCATTTGCGAGAACAATTTCACATTTGCGGTGATGATTTGCCACTTTATTTACAAATTTATTAACCACGTTGTCACTTGTCAGCCAGTTAGCACAATATTATCATTTTCCTAAGTTCCATTCGCGATTTCACGGTTTTATTGGCAGTGTTATCATTTTTAAATCGTTTTGCACTTAATTATAATATTGTGTGCGATCCAGCAGGAACAATGGCCCGCACTAAGAATCCCCCAAAGTCCCGTCAGAATCCCCGTCAGGTGCAGAATCAAGCCTCCGCGCATTCGGGTGGAAATCGTAACGACCAGCCTGCGCGAGGGAAACGCTCTCACCCACCCGCTGCCCGCATGTCTGCCCCGGGAAATCCCAACTTTAACACGGGCCGACGACGTGGACCAGGACGTTCGCCGCCATCCTCGCCGTCGTCTTCGCCGCCGCCTCCGCCACCGGACCACGCGCCTGCTACCGGTTGGAGGGCGGATATCCGGAAATATCAAAATTCCACCGAACTGCTCATCCCCAAACTGCCGTTCCAGCGTTTGGTCAAGGAAATCGCTCATACATTCGGTGTGATTTATCGTTTTCAGTCCGCGGCTTTACTGGCTTTACAAGAGGGAACTGAAGCGTATTTAGTGGGCCTGTTGGAGGACTGCACTCTGGCTGCTGTGCATGACAAACGTGTGACAATTATGCCGAAAGATATGCAGCTGGTGCGCCGTCTTCGCGGAGAGCGTTTAGGTTGAATAATTCTGGACTGGACCGATGACGAAGCAAAATTACGCATGGTTTCAGTGGTGAATTTCTGGTATGATTTTTCCTACGTTAAACGTGCAGTTTTGTTGACTGTATCGGTTGTACATGTAATATGTTCTAAAGGTGTGCAATTCCGTTTTGGAGTTTTATAGTTTATACTTTATGCCGTTGAAGTGCGTTTCAGTTCCTAGTCGTTGCTCATTGGCAAGTCTTTCCTAAAATTCGCGGTTCAAGCTATTCTGATTACATTATTATGAAGCCGCCATTTGGGACCATTACGTATACAGTGCGCAAAAATGTCCCATTAAAGTTTGGTTCGTTGGCACGTTTGTTCAACGATTCGCCGTGTACTTGTACTACGAGTAGCAATTGGTTTTGGTGACCTAGGTGACTTTTAATTAATTTTACTATTAATTCATTCGAGCCTTTTCATCAAGTACTGTACATCTGTGCAAGACCGGCTCTTATCTGCCCAACTAACAATTAGATGCTTCAGTAGCTAGTAGCTACCGAATTAATTTTTCAGCTTTCTACGGATTTCTTCATTGAATAAGCCGCTTTCAGAAATTAGGTTAAGGTACTCAAGAACATATAAATTTATGCGACTGTACGTCGAAGGTTACTTGTATGGAAGAAATCAGTTTATGCTGAACAATCCAGATTGTGAATTTACTGACGCAAACGAACTTCCATTACCGGTAAAATATTGAGAAATAACCGGTTTTGCAATCTGCACGTAAAGCTCATTTCAGTAAATTTAACTAGCTTCTAGGAAGTTTAAAATAAAACATTTCACAACGAGATCTGACAATGATCACAACTTAAAAAGACGGAAACATTCCGCACAATTTTTAAACGCCTAAAACATTAAAAACCTTATCTGAACAAAACATTTTTCACCACATATCAGAACATTCCAGAAACATCGCTTAAACCGGACTTCCTCCATTGGTATCATGACGATGAACATCCACATCCACCTCTCGCACAAACGTCCCGGTTCCATTATGAAATCCAGGAATTTCCGATGCTGGTTTTGTGATCACTTCAACAGTATCCACATTCCGAACGTTGTGCATGGGGCTGTTAACGTTTCCGTTGACCGCCTGGGCGCGGGATATGGGAATTTCTAACGAGTCCGGCTCTGTCGCTGGTGGATAACGTTGATAATTTGTAAGCGTCTGCAAAAATATCGTCACACATCAAAGGTTTTCTGACAATGAGCAGACGCATTATTGTACCGAAAATTCACTCGCAGAATCAGTAACGCTCCCATAAGAAACGGTAAAGCGTCTGCTGTAATACAGCTGTAATTATCGCTGGAAGTGAAACTGTAAACATCTCCGAACAAATTCGTTGACCGAGTTAAGTATAAATTTAATCTTTATGCCTTTGTTTGGTTTTAAAAATTTCTGGTTTAAATTTCAGACCTTCACCGCGCAATTTCTGGTCAGTTTCCCATAAATATTCACTAAATACGAGTTTCCAAAATTCGTATCAAAAGTTCAATGTACCGGTGAATTCACAAAATAATCCCCTTCATTCTGTCATATTGCAATATTATGGCGACGTACCACTTTGCCGGGTTTTGTAGCTGCGATGGTTTCAGGGATTTCCGTATGATCCTTTCTGCGATATTCATCTACCTCTCGCACAAACGTCCCAGTTTCGTTAGGTTTCGTGATCACTTCAACATCCTCCACATTCCGAACGTGCGTGTACGGGCTTTTGACTTTTTCATTTAAATTGACCGTCTGGACCTTTTCAATGGGAGCCACGGGCAGATTTGCATTGTCCGATGATTTAAAGTTTTTAAGCGTCTACAAACACACATTTTTTAATATCTACGATACTTCTATACTACCTTCAACACACCGTTCTGTATAATCAACACACTGTTCTGTATATCGCAATCTTTCGGTAAAACATCAGAAGGAATACGTTGTAATTTGTAAATGCCACTGAAACGTAAATATCTTAAACAATCCAAGCAAACGAATTTCCTAAATACCTGCCTTTGTCTCTTTGTACGTTTTTAAGTGATCATTATTTAAAATATCGTACCTAATCATTTGAACCAATATTCAGTAAATTCACTAGAACTATCCCGACTTTGTAAACGAAAAGTTAAAACCTATTAATTCATATTCTTTTTTAGATAATGCAATATGGCGACATACCACGGTGCCGGGCCTTGCCGTTTCGATGGTCTCTGGAATTTCTGTGTGGTCTTTCTTTTTTCGATATGAAACGGAGAATCGCAGCTTCTTCATTTCCGGAATACGCAGATTGGGAGCCATTCGGAAATAGGCTCCGCGCATGTCAGCTTCTTCCACCGTTTCAGGCAAAGCATAGCTAACGGTTTCCGGTAACAAGAAGACGCACAACATCGCCACCAGTCCCATACAGCCAAAAATCACAATCGGCAGGACCATGCTATGAAACTGCAGCTTGACGATGAGGTAACTAATGTGGGAAATTAGATAAGCGATGCTTTCCACAAAGGCCACACCTTGCAGGCGAATCACGGTGGGAAATGTCTCGTAACTCAACAGTTCACCCACGATATACGCTCCTAAACAAAGAGTAAAATAGAATTAGCAGATATACAAATAAATAAGAACCAAAACGAATATTAATAAGCTTATGTAAGCATGTTCTGCTCAAGTGCTAACATTGTAAGTAGATGTCATGCAAAATCACATAAATGAGGCTATTATTATGAGCACTTGGTTCTTTATAACGTAAATATTTAATTCAATAAAATTTAGAAAGCGTAAGTGCATGGATATTCAATATTTTCCGCATTTTTCCAGCAATTCAAAGCAATGCGATAGCCTGATGACCAGTCGGCAAACAACTACTCACCTGCAAAAAATATTTTGGCGATGAGGAAAATGGCCACAATGCCCCAGAAGTATTCGTGCTTGGACGGGAAAGCCAGAGTCAGAAGGCAGGTGATAAAAGCCGCAGCAAACAAGATCAGCAGAGTGACCCGTCGACCCAAACGATCACACAACAGCGCCGTCAGAACGTAGCCGGGAATTTCGACCAGGAAGTTAATGAAAGTGTTAAAATACTCGTCCGCTCCCACGCCACTGAATGACGGTGTCAGCTGTCGAAGGCCTCCGTAACAGATCTGCAGCGTGCAAAGGAGATATACCAACAGCAAGGTTTTGCGTCGCATGGGCGGTGTGGTAAAGAGACGCGTCCATGCTGCACGTTCCCAGCGTGTCATCTACAACTCCACCAAGGCAATCAGATGAGAAATCTTCAAACATTCACGTCAATTCGCAACAGTAATAATACACAAAAAATAATACAAACTTTCTTACATGATGGTGGTCGATATTCACTTCCCGTTCGCACTGAGTAAAAATTTTCTTGAGCTTGTTCTGAGCGGGTTCATCAAAGGTCACACCGTTGACACGGGCAATGTTGCGAAAATAATTTTCAACTTGCTCGAAACGTTCGTGCACTAACAGCCATCTGTAAAATCAACCAAAATGGGTAACAAAATAGGTTTACTTCTTGCATAGCGTTTAATTGATTGTTATAAATTATAAATCTACTGCTATCCATCCATGCACTGAAATATCCGTGAGGCAAATTACTGAACAAATTCGATGTTTAGGAATTTAAGGGTGTTCACTAACCGTGGTGACTCGGGCATAAAAAACCAGTAGATGAACAGTAGATAAAACGGCGTGGTGCCGATAATGGTCATCGTCCGCCAGTGTCGCATGAAGTAGGCGAGAAGGATGAAAGCCATTGACCCGAACGCATACACCACGCTCAACCAGACGACGTAAGTCACACGGGAACGCAAGGTCAAATTCTCAACACCTATTGAATAGTCAGATTTCCGACGATCACAGAAACAGATTACGTTCAACCAAAAGTTTTCTTTGATTTCTTTCAATGAACTGCTTGTGTTGAAATGATTCTATGGAAATAAAACTACAGAGTTAAAGGAAATAAGAAAAGAAAGCTGAAGTGGACGATTATATTCCACGACGAACAGAAACAGTTATAATATGGACGATTTATATTCCCGCATTTCAAACGATAAAAAACTGTTAAAAACAAAGCCAATGAACACTAGCAATTAAATGAACTGTTTAAAAACTAAAAAAATGCCCAAAAATTTCAGGAAAAATGTTCACTCACCTAAGGTATACAAAATGTAATACAGCGGCCCCGATCCAAGCGAATGCAGCATGGCCAGAATCACGAACGCCGTGTACGTCGGTGCAAACGCCGCGCTCAACCCGAACGTGATAAACACAAACAGCGCCGTAAAGAACACCGGTTTCCGTCCCCATTTATCCGCGCAGAAGCCGCCCACGCCGATCCCCAGGACGAAGAACAGCACCATAAATACCTGGCCGACCATCGGTGCACCGGACCAATCACACACCAGATCCCATTCCGTCACCACACTCTGATCCCACTGATGCATCTGGAATTCCCAGCCATGCTGGCAGCCGGTGGTCGTCAGGTTGACAGAGGTGTGATTGAGGTGCGCTGTCAACGACGCCAAGGAGGCATTGTGTTCCAGGAAGACCCGCGTGTAGTTGATGTTGTACTGCAGACAACCGGAATGCGGCGGCGACAGCGCGGGATCGGCTGGCATGAGCAGGCGCCGATCCGTGGCGGTGATGGCAGGATGGAGAAGGATGCCAGATGTCGTCAGGGATTCGTTAGTTAACTCGGGGATTAAACAGAAATAGTCACTCGGTGCGGACACGACGAATCCCTAAACAAAAACAATATAACCGGTCGCTGGACAGACTTGACATACTTTTAATACAGCGCAACGGAGCATTCACTGTTCATCAAGGTTTGAAAGGTGAATGACTGAACAGAGAAGTTGCAGGATATTTTTACGTAACCATTCCGCTATTTCTTGTGGTCGAACATGAATACTTTTCCAAAAATTTTATTATTCAAATTATTTACCATAATACAGTTGATGAAAGCCACAAAAAAGAACAGGGGTAGGATAATCAGGAAGGTAATACGACGCTGGTAAATTCCATAGCCGCCCAGTGCATGGATCAGATCATCGAACAATTCCCCGACATCCTTCACGTTCCGCTTGGGAAATTTGGAGAAAATCGGTTTAGGAACTTTGCTCTTTTTTTCTACAAGCCGAAAAGCGTCAGAGTGGGATTCATTATCAGCGTTAGAATGAATGTCAATAGTGCAATTATTGAAATGCAGGTAACCTTATGCTGCTAGCGTCAGCAAAAACATGGAACGGAAGGCAAAGCACAGAAAACCAAAACACAAGGAAAAAGTTACGGTACCTTGTCGGAAAAGAAAAGACTTTTTACTGAGGATTCAACTTCGGTTTCTGGATCGTCGGCCATTTTAACGATATCTGTTGGAACAACAAACTGTTTAGACGTGAGAGGGAGAAAAATCGATTTGTAAATTCCAACTCGAAGACGGAAAAAATATGCAAAGAAATTCACCGGGAAGTGGAGCACTGACTAATGAACAGAAAAAAAACTGTTCAGTGGACTGCGGTCTTCAACAACTCAAAGAGGCGACAGACGTCGACCAGTGTGGAGTGGCAAACCACAAGTAACGTTCCGCTTAAAACGGTCTGGTTTAAGAGGCGTAACGAACCATAGTTCTGTCTGAGGGATTTTCCCTACTAAACGGGCTGGCGCGTTACGCCAGCTGCGTTGCTTCTTTCGTTTTTGAAAAATTGAAATGTTAAAGACTTTAACTTTAACAGTTAAAGTCACTTAAATTGTTAATAAGTTTTTGGATAAAAAGAATTGATAATTAATTTGCATTCGTATAGATTTAATAGAAACTTAATGAAACGCAGCACTTCTTTTAAGTCCAGCATCAGTAAAAATCTTTACGGCTGTTGTACGCAATGGAGAATGGAGATTGCAAGGTTTCAGTGATGAATGCGAACCCCACTGACGATTTTGCGGAGAAGTTATGGAGCGCAAAAATTGCTTCACGATCTGGTAAGAGTCTACAGCCTTTGCCACTTAGAAATTGCCTTTAGTGGAATGCGAAATCCGAAGTTTCTGATTCAAAGCAAATGTGCGTCAGCAGCGAAAGGGCTGTCTTGTTTTCGCATTTCCTTTCACCAGAATTTTATGCTTATCACATGCTACAGCCATAGTGAAAAGATGTTGTTATCCAGTTTTACTGTAGAGCTGAAGACGCCCGCTGACTGGAATGCATTGCGCTTCGCAGCCAACTTCGATATTTCGCAAGCTAGCGTGAAGGATAACGTTAGCAGGATAGATGCTGCCCAGGTGTCTTGTGATGAATTCATCCAGAAGTATGAATCAACCTACACACCCGTGGTTATTCGCAATGCACAGAAGAACTGGCCAGCCGTAACTGCTTGGACCCCAAAGGTAAACACAGGTGGTAATATATAATTTTCGATTAAATTCCACTGAAATTTCGGGAAAAAATTTGCGCCCGGCATTTGCACGATCAAATGCAATTGTAAGTATAGCGTGTAGATTATTTTACTTGTTCGTGTTCGAATCTGCGTCGTGCGCATGTCCAAAAATTGTTAACGTTTTGTAAATTTTTTGGATAATTATTAAGTAGCAAATAAAGTGAATGATTTTCAACTGATTTCTCGAAATTTGCAGTTTCGTGTGCATTGTTATAAATATAAGCCATTACGCTGCCATGATTAAGTGTTCAGTATTGACATGCGACATACTTCGGGTTAAATCTTGATTTTTGATTGTGCAGGAATTAATGGAAAAATATGGCCATGAACGGTTCAAAGTGGGCGAGGATGATGACGGCTATTCAGTGCGATTTAAAATGGATCATTATTTGCGATATTATGCCAACACGGATGATGATAGTCCATTGTACATTTTTGACAGCAGCTTCGTTGAGGTCAGCGAAAAAGGATTTCAGTGGTGTACGCGAAATTTTCTCACCCTGTATATATTACAGGTTAACTAAAAATAGCTGAAAGTGTAGGATAAAAGTTATTGATTTTTAATTTTTATCATGTTTAATTAACGTGCGTTTGTTGTTCTTAGGATAGTTTTATAAAAACAAATCGGGATATTTTTGTTATCGGGGATATTCTTATTTGAGCATTTAAATCGTCCGTTACCGCGGTTTTTTTTACGATTTAAATAAAGTAATATCCATTTAGTTAACATATTCGGTTCCTTTAGCGAGTATCGGCGTTAATTTGCAACGTTTATGTTGTTCGATTATGCAGAATAACATTTGTTGACAGCGTACCGGTGAAAATGGTCTGGTGAAAGATTACACCATCCCGGAATATTTTGCGGATGATCTGTTTAATTATGCCGAACGGAAACGGCGTCCGCCCTATCGCTGGTTCGTCATGGGACCAGCCCGTTCCGGCACGGGCATCCACATTGATCCACTGGGGACCAGTGCGTGGAATGCTCTAGTGCATGGCTATAAACGGTGGTGTTTGCTGCCTACCTGTGTGCCAAAGGACCTGCTCAAGGTGTCCCGCATGGATGCACCGCGACAAACCAACGAAGCCGTGTCCTGGTTCCAGTATGCATATCCCAAAACCCAGCGTCCGGATTGGCCAGCCCAGTACCGAGCGGTACGCTGTTAGATCGGTTTTGTTGAAGCTTAATAATTTGCACTCTTTCCAAACCAAATTAGTTAACTTACTACAGACATCATTCTTTCATTTCGCAGCCAGTGATACGAGTCATTCGACTATAATCAGGTGTACTTCATCCCATGCTTCTTAGTTCTGCATTACCTCAAAATGAAGGGATTTCGTAGTAGTATGGCCAATGGTCCCGGTGATTGCCTCTATCAGATTTGTAATTTACGCCTAATGCAACCTTTGAAATCGAAATAGTTTTAACGGTATTTAACCAAATATGTTTTTGGATTGAATGTTTTTATAAACAAGGTCACTGGTATTATTTTACAAAAATTCCTTGTTTTTATGAATATTGACCGTATACTGTTTGAGATGAACTCTTAAATTTTCTTTGATTATGCGGTAATACAACCGTATCCTTCTAACTTCGCCGGTTTTGTCTCGCTTCCTTCACCAATATAAAGTTTTACCGTCCCGAGTTTACCCGTTTGTCTGTTTGTCTTTCAGCTGGAAATTCTACAGCATCCCGGCGAAACAGTTTTTGTTCCAGGTGGCTGGTGGCATGTGGTTGTGAATCTCACTGATACCGTAGCCGTGACACAGAATTTTGCTAGGTTAGTGTGGGATAATATTTTTATTCAAACATTGATGTTTCCTGTACAGTACTAAATTGCGGGCAATACCGGTCCGCATGTTAATCTAAAATGGTGCGAAATCTTGCCTGTTTATTTTTGCAACAGAAATCTACGTTAAATTGCTGGATAAGTTTTTTACGTGCATTTTTACGTGCAGAATTGAAATTGGAAGTACATAGTTTTTTCGTAGTGTGATAAATTTCCCCATTGTCTGGCACAAGACCGCCCGTGGCCGGCCTAAATTGGCCCGCCAGTGGTACAAAACCTTGCAAGAATGCCGGCCGGAAATCGCGGCCATCGCCGACCAAGTGGATCTGAGCAGTAACACCGGCGTCCAGTCGGATGACAGTAGCAGCTGCTCTTCATCGTCCAGTTCATCCAGTTCCAGCAGCTCCTCGGAAAGTGACGGTGAGACGGAGCGCGAACCACCCAGGAAGGGCGGAATGATGAGCAAACGTTCGCGGGATTCACCGGACAGCGGACAAGGCAGTCTGGATTATAATGGGAATCATGCAAAACGTTAGTCTGACGTTTAAAAAATTAAATGAACGCATCGTGACTAATTTGGCATTAATTTGTAGGAACCAAGGAGAGTGTGCTGTGATATATATTGCGAGGGATAAGTTTCTCACATGATTGACAATTGTGAGTGGTGGATGATATTTCCTGTTGGACAGATCTTTCACGGATTGGATTTGTTATGGGTTGCTTTTGTTTGGGCAGCTTTATATTTATAGCTTGAAATTACGTTGAGTTTGAAACTAAATAGACGGGCTTTCGCTTTACTTCTAATACTATTCTGAGAATCGGTAATTTTTGGATAGTTCCTGGAAGGAACTCGATATTTAAATGTGGACACTTTTATATTTTGATATATATAATGTCATTGCGAGTATATGAGATATTGGATTGGATAAATGACAAAGATATGTCCGGAAGCGCATGCTAATAAGTAAAAATATGAGTTCTTCCGTTATTATTTACTAAAATACATATCTCTTTAATAAGGGAGAAGTTGATCATACTTCTAGTTCTGCTTTGGAACATAAGTTCAGAGGCAGAGAGCGCCAGTTAACAAAACGCGGGCTTTTGATGGGCAAGGTGTAACTGTGGGGTTACGTAAGTGGCGTAACTGATTAATGATTTTCTGGTTTGCTGTTGCGTTCCGTAATATTGAAATGGATTTGTTTGTGATGTGGATACCTTGAGGCTTTTTCGACGCAGGCGTCGAACAGAGCGTTCCATTCAACTGTTACTTCTCAGGACGAATAAACGTGAAATGTCACCCGAAATGCCGCACCTGCACCGCCGCCACCGTTGCACGTGTTTGTTGGCCCCGCGCTGCAGCGGCTTCGGCTGCTCTTTGTTGTTCCGCATAACTTATTTTGCGTTCCTCCCTTGAACGGCATGACGAAGTGATTCGACTGGCAGCAGACAAATCCCACGGTATTGGTGGCTGAATGCTTGGAATGACAATGGGATATCCGAAGTTGCTCCTTGTTTTCGTCCTTGTGTCAGTTGGGGGCACGGTAAGTCAGAACGGGTTTTTGAAACTGACTTTTGGAATAGTTTTTAACATTTTCCGGCTTTTCTTCATTTTAGCCATTTACGATAGTGCGTTTTAACTTACGTTAGTATAGCCAGTATTTTCCGAACACCTAATTAAATTTTTTTGATATAATGATATTCATTTTGTCAAACATTCTCTGTACATAGGTCACTGGCTCATTACTGTCCGACGGCCGTGGTTTGAGAAATTTAAATATATAATAGCTGTCGGACGACTTTCTGAAGATTGTTGACTAATGTGCTTTCTACAATAATTCGTTAAAGTTCGTATGCATAATCGAGGTTCAATATCTGTGTCGACGAGAACAAATTATAACTAACGTAGTTTTGTAGCGCAGTGGCAGATGCCGATTATTATCATTCACGTTGTATGGCAGAACACATCTACGCTTTGGCTAGCGTATTACTTGTGCAAAGCTCAGAGCAAAATAATCCTTGTTTTCCTTTGCATACCGTTTTTTCCTTGACTGATAATTTAATGACAGATGCTTTTCGGCTTTCTGCTAAGCTTTTTAATTATGGTTATAGTCATATAGAAATATGCCTTTACATAGTTACATATCACGTAAACTTAGTATTGTAAGTATCTGTACCAGCATGTTCATCTCTGCAGGGAGTTTACTCATCCCCCACCGAAGACATTCCCTTATCCGGCCACAAAGCCCTGGAAATAAAGGAAGGCTCCAGCCAGACCATCGCCTGCAGTCCCAACTTCCCGTCCCTGATTATCGGCAACTCCTACTTCCGGCCGGACCGGTCGACGCCCGACAGCCGCGCACCCTGCAACGGCGACAATGTCCGGGAGCTCTTATCGTGGGCTTGTGATGGGAAGAAATCCTGTGTGTTATCCGCCAGTAAGCAGGATCTGGGCAGTTCTTGTGGGAAGACCAAGATGAAACTGGTGGTGATGTACCGCTGCGTCCGGTCCAAAGTGGTCAGCGTCAACAAACAGGTAACATTACATTACGGTTAAACTCGAGGTAACTGTTCGTTTAATGAGTTTAATCGTAGAAAATTATTTTGCATGTTTCTGTATTGTTTTGGCTTGTTTGGCTTGTTAGCGCGCTTTCCTAGTAAACTTGAAGTAAACCATGATCAATAATAAATAGGCTTATCATGATGACGGCTAACGATTGTAGTATTCCGGCTGCTATATACCTAAACAGACGTTCTGCAGTGCAAGTAACTATTACGAAGCTTGATAAATTCTTTACTAATATTTTTTTTTCTTACGCAAATGAATCCAGTTAATATGTACGAATCAATCAAGCTTAACGCTGGCCGTTTTGCAGGGAGATAAAAAGAAACTTCCGTCCGTCTGCCAGTCACTGCGATCTTCAAGATACTGTCGTTAAACTGTCATATTTGGATTTTTATTTCGTTGCAGCGGTTTTGTTAGACATCAGATGAAAGTGCATGGTTTCAAGGACAAACTCAATGTAGCTCTTTTTATAAAACAAAGAACAGCAAAGATTGTTTGACCATGCCTTGAAAATATTTTATCAGCCGCACAGTTTCCGGAAAAATGACAGTCCGCACGTGGCAGAGTTGTACATACTCTGCAAACAAAAAAACAACTGTAAGCCGTTAAATTGTAACGATTTCCTGCGTGCAACCGAATTCTTAAAATAACTGAAGAAAATAAAAATCGTAACTGTATGTTTAATGTTTATATTTTACACTTTATTCAAATTAATGTTGTTAGTTCATAACTGTAAACGTTGAATAAATGATGAACGGATTACAATTCTGCATAAGAAATAAATGCTTTGTGCTTTCACTTTCAGTTTTGTTTGTATTTCACCACGGTCCGTATACTTACAGTCCGTAGACTTTTACTTTCTATGATTTCAATTTTATTTCTGATTTCACGAATCGGATACGTGTTTACCTTTATGAACTGGCACTATCACGTATCATTCCACATGCGATATTGTTAATCGTTAGTTTTCTTAAGAATTTCAATCAGGTTTACTGGAATTATATTGTGCACACAGTAGATCGACATACATTAACTTGTTTCTGTGGTGGCGGTTTCGGTACCGGCTTGTGATGGCAACTGAAACTCACCACCAGTCGCATGGGCATCGATAATCCACAGTTGGACGCTCTCTGCCGGTCGGCTCTGGTGTAGCGCAGTTGGCAGGACGGTGTATTGAAGCAGCTTCCCAGCTGCGACTCCATAATCGGCACGGTAGTACCCTGGCAAAAGGTCGGCGAGATCTGACAGCGTCCGGACTTGACATTGTACTGGTAGGACTCCATGAAACGCGCCGAGACTATGTTCATATAGGGTTCCGTGTTGGTGCTGCACTGCAGTTCCACATCCTCGTCCTCAGCGAACTCCACAATGCGTTCGCGCTCATCCGAGTACGATGTGACGACTGTGCTGACGGCGTGAGCGGCAAAAATGCCGCCAATTATCTACATCCACAATCCTGAGCTTTTTAGAGTTATGCTTAATCAAAAGTTTCGAAAGTATGAATCGAACTGTACTATAATCGTCAATAACACGTAGTACATATATACACGTGCACCGGTACAAGAACAATATCTACTCGTATATAATGTTATGAACGTACAAGAGTCTACAATTAATGCTCGTATAACATTAGTATCGTATTATTGTAGATTGTAGCATGTGTAAATGAAATTAATAGGCAACACTGATAAGACGCTAAGCACCCTATTGTACGTAAGATAGTAACCCTACAAACAATTTTGATATAGATATAAGCATTATTTTAATTTTACATGAAAACAAATTAAAAACTTTGTCTTACCAGAATGACATATAAATGTTTCATATGCGTGTACCATCCGGCCATCTTCTGGGTGATGTGTAAACGGTACTAGTACATAAATATCTGCGACTGTTTTCTGAGCAGTGTTTAAAGTGCAGGACATTATAATGCGTGATGTTGAGTAAAACCGAGAAATGAGACTTTGTTAACTACCTTGCTGCACCGGTTACATGCCAGCCATTATAAACCGGAACTTAAAGAAAGACCGTATACACAAAGGTCATAAAGTTTTACAACCCACATGAATTACGAGAACATTATTTTTTGTGAATTTATCGGCATTGGATTGGACCAAATGGTAATGGACTCAACAATTTAATAAAAAAATTCAAAACACGACAGTGCTAGTTGATCGACATACAGAGTCTGTACTTGTGATCCGTAACGTGTTCGGGGTTAAATTTCCTGACAAAGGTTCGGTTTAGTGGCGCGCCTGGCGGTGATAAAACGATTTTAGTTCATTTTTATGGTATTGTTCCATGGAGTTAATCACGCTGGGAACTTACATATAATGCCGACGACAGACAATATTGTGAGATCGTTTAAGTTTAGAGTAGGTACAGTACAAGTGAGCATGTGCGCAATCGTTTTTGGAACTCTTACCTTTAGCCGGCTTTAGGTAAGCGCATATCCATAAATTTCAACATTCATCTGTGTAGATTACCAAAATATGTTTGGTACCTTTATTAATTTGTAGTTCGACGTTCGTTTATAAAGTACGTACACGTAAGTCCAAGTATTCATTACTGGTTTCGAAAGTAAGTACACTAGAAGTACTCATATCCTGACAATATAACCTTGATATGACCATTATTTAAGGATTAGACTAGGGAGTTGGCCGATATATTTGAGGATGACAATAAACTCAGAGTCGTTAGCCGCAAGCTCGTCGCAATTTGGAGTTCATGTTGCAGGAGGGGCTATCAAACAATGCCTACAACAGGCCATATTGGTTAACAATAATTAAGAATCAACAATGATGATGTGCTTATGATGCGGTTTTGCACTCCAAACAAGTGCAGTAATCATTGTTGTGCTTACAACCCTCGTAATTACAAGGGTTTATGAAAGTCGTTAGAACGTCGTTATCATGTACAGTAAGCCAGTCATGAGATAAACAAAATGCGCAAGCAGTAAGTAACTATTTTTATATGCACGCTGCGCACTTGACTACGTAATTTCGATAATAAAATAATAATGTACTATACACATTTGACTTACATTCTTCAGTGTTTCGTCCGGCTTGGGCAGCTCCACTTGCACATCGGAGCAGTTGTAGGTCACCACCAGCCGCATAGGCGTGGCCAGGCCGCACTGACCCAAAGACATCCGGTCCGTCTTATCAAAGGACAAGGTGCACGTGCGCTGGTTGAAGCAGTCGCTGAACATGGGTGCAATCCCGTCCGGAAGGCGCAGTAGATTGGAACTGGGCTGGCAGAAGCTCGGGGTCAGCCGGCATGATTGCTGTTTTTTATCAAAGACGTAAGTTTCCAGGAAGAGTGCGGATTTCAGGTCCATATACGGCTGATTGGCATTGCTGCATTCAAAGGTCATCGGTTCATTCTCCGGGATTTCCACCGTGCGGATACGGTTGCCGTTTAATGGCTTCACTGTCTTCACGTCGCTTTTTATGCCGACCAGCAAAACAGCCTAGAAAAGTTTCCAAAGACATCGAAAAATAGCTCAATCACATTATTTAATAGCTTGGGTACATGAATCAAGTATTAAAACTGCGTGTATCACAATAGAGCAGAAATTATTTCTGGTAATATCTGTATTTCGTTGCTCACAATTGCTGCAAAAACTGATTCTGTTTTATTGCAAATTAGGTAAAATGTAGCTAGGGTTAGTTTTCAAACAAATAATGCTTACCACACCGGCGAGGAGTACGTAGAACCGTTGTGCGGCCATGATAAAAAAGCACAATACACAAATATATTCCAGCAATATCTATATTTACAGCACTTGTATTGTGCTATTCCTAACCATTTCCCGTGTAGTTTCGAAGCATGATATATATACTGCTTCTGCATTCTTAGATATGAGATACATAATTAAATATGCAAAAATTTTCCAGAACTATAAACCAACTATAACCGGAACCTGCCGTTCAAACTGATTAACGACAATTTGCGCTTATTAATCAGGATTCATAGACTGTTTGCTTTACGTTTCCATGATGACGTCTGTTTTATGCGCTGTGGAATAGTTTTTGGCATTTAGAGCGATTATTTCCCAGGCATGCAATGCCGAGAAATACCCCCGCGGAGCAGCGGGGCCTCCCTGTCGCACAGCTGGGGAACATGCACTTACTGGTCAAACACGCAGACATTGTTCTATGTATTGCATAATTCGTATTACAATTTTATTACGCCAAACATGAACTGTATTAATTAAATATCATACTACTGATTAAATTACCATGTAAAGCCAGCGCAACTTCCTCCGTAATCATTAAATTTTACGTAGAATTTGAACTGAAGCACACAGTGGAAGTTAATGTTTTCCAACATTTTCATCGGTTATGGTATCATTGTAATTATTTTGCATAAAATTGTTGGAATAGACTCAACAGAGAGGATACGAAATAAATTAGCATTTGCAGCTTTACAAGTTATCACTTTCGAGGCTTGCATCGTAATTCGTAAGCAACTTACTCCTAAATCCTAAAGTATGTGCAATAATATGAATTATAGGATGCCACTATTTACCACTATTTGACTATTTCCATGCAATACGCAAGAATTCCGGATCGGAAGAAGTGGATTTCACCAGTTCACAACACATGGGCGATATGTCCACAATGATTTTTATCATTAACAGTTGCAATAGTTTGGAGCTCATGTTCATATCCTACACTTCCGAAAAAAACGTTATCACTTGAATAGTAAGGAAAAACCCATTCGCAAATTCGGCATTTAAATCTGAAATTATACAGGTTGTGAAGGTCACTTTATCCCAGCGATCAAAGCGTACAAAAAAGCATTAACTTTTCAAGATTTGTAGTGAAATGTTAATTAAACCACTACCGGAAATCACCAAGAAATGAAATGCGATGCGCCGTTGTTAAAGCTTTTCACGGGCCGGGCACGGGATTGTTAGGGCCTTTCTTTTCCGCGGCCGCCGTAAATTTCTTCAGTTCGCCTTGCTTCCGTAGAATCTCGTAGTCAAACTCAAATTCACCCAGTCCCTGCCCGACTTTACGCAGTATGCCGACGTAATTCGCCAGGGTTTTTATGTCTTCCGTCTGCTCTTGGAAGAAATTATCCTCCACAAAAGTGGTCAGCTGGAAATAAAAACATGAACATTGAATCTGTTCGCTAATTATTCCATTCATGTTGCGTACTGCTAAATATATGTCAGTTATGTCTAACATTTAGCTGCATTTATTTCACAACCATGGTTTAAAATTTTAAACTAAAAACTGACACTGCTGTGGCACCGTGTATGGTAGTACCTGCAAATCGGCTTTATTGGTCTGTCGTGATTTGTGCATACTTCTATAGTATGTACATGTAGATATACAGTACACTCTGTACGAGCATCGAGGGTCACAATTAATAAAACACATTTTTTGAAAAAACCCCAAAATAATATCCTTTCCGGTCTTTTCGATGCAATCATGAAAACGCAAGGATATAAAAATTACAAAATAATAAAATTAACTATATACATGCAAGCTCTAATAAGATTATAGGCATAAGAAGCCCTGCCTCTGTGGAAAATGTTCAAGTAAATTAAAATTTGCTTAAAAGATTCGCAAGCAGAAGGCTGCGATAACTTGCTGAGATTCAAAAAAGATGCATTTTTTTTACCTGCGGATCGCCGTGTTCGCTGCCGATCCGGTGCAGTTCAATCAGCGTTTCATTGACGCTTTTCTCCATCTCCAGGGCCTCTTCCATCGCCTCCAATCCCGTCTTCCACTCGCACTTCTTCGGGCTTTTAATATCCTCCAACTTCACTCGACCGCCGCGCTTATTCAGGTAGCGCGCACAGATCATGGCATGCCCGCGCTCCTCCAGGCTCTTATCGAAGAAATAACTGGAGAAGCCGGGCAGTGCCACATCATCGCGGTCAAAGTACACGGCCATGGCCAGATACGTGTAGTGCGCCGACAGTTCATGGTTGATCTGCTTGTTCAGCGCCTGCTCCGTGTCTTTGTGGAAGTTACTACGGGCCAGCGAGTGGGTTTTCTTCGAGGAACTCTGCCCGAGATGGTCGGTCGCGCAGTCATGGGGGTTCGGGGAGGAATCTGGAGTGCGAGCGTCTTTGTGGGAAGAGAAAGACACGGTGTGAAGGAGAGGCACGGCTGCGCGGGATTCTAGGAAAGACGTGCCCGATACCAGACGGGCATGTGGCCACAATCGGGCTAAGGATCGCAACATTTCTGTAGCCGATGCAGCACAGATATGATCAATTCAACCAAAAATTAAAGATTTTCTGTATCTGCTATGCAAACCTAACCACCAAAGGACAAAATTACTTACAAAAACAACGAAATCTTAAAAATCGAACAACATTTTTCGGATTTTATCGTTTTTGCACGTCACATTTTTATAAATCTGATGAACTAAACAGCCGTCGTATGGGCGTTCGTCTCTTTCGCAGACCATTGTTTGTCAGATTATTTAGAAGGCAGGGCAGTTACGTTAAGACCTCCAAGCAAGGGGGCTGACGCCGTCTGTCAAGCTTTACACTCAAAAATCCAGGATTGCCATCGAGAGCGCAGTCGCATTGTGATCTGAATTTGCGAATATTTTTGCGACTTCACCTTTCTTCCAGTTTTGATTTTGATTGAATATTTGTTAGGACTTTTGGGCATCATGGGTGGTGGCGGTCACGGCCCGCCTGGCGTCGGCCATGATGTGTGGGGCAACATGGCGCACTTTCGAGGGGTGATCACCCATTCTCTGTCGCCCTTCGAGCAGCGAATATTCGCCGGATGGATAAGCCATGGAGTCCCTAATACTATTCGCCGTATCAAAGGACAGTTTTTCCGAATTGGAATCCGTAAGTTAACGGAGTTGTCACATTTAAAATGAATATTTCGATTCTTTGGGGATTTTCGGTGTACCAGCAACGTTTAATTTGTGCGTTCCCTGTTACGGTTTCTCTGCTTATTACGCGGTGAACAGAGAAGTTGCAGGTCCTTCCGGTTTTGAAAGTTAATGAATATTTTTATGATTTTTAAAATAGTTTGTTCTTAATAAAGTCGTTTGTAATGATTTACTGATTCAGTTTGCACGTTTTTATGAAGTGTAACAAACCTAAACAAGGAATGATTCTGTATCGGTTTTAATTTGCAGCTTTCTTTATCGGATACGCTATTTACGACTGGGCGGAAACGACTCATACAAAGTTGGTACGAAAGGATCCCAAGTTTTACGAGCATGAGTACGCAGAATACTTAGCCTCTCCCGAGCATGCTGAATACCTCAAGAAGAAAGCCCAAGAAGAAGCTGCAGAACTGAAATCCAAGAAGAAGTAAATACGGTTTTTCTTTGCTCCGTGCAAGCTTATTGTGGATAACGTAGCAAGGATGACCAGTGTTATGTGAACAATAGTTGGCATTTGGATGGCGATCTTTTTGACTGCCAGTGTGCGTGTGCTTATTATAAGGTATTGTTTGTAAAAAAAGTTAAGTAACGTATTTAGCGGCAGAATGTAATAAATAACATTGGCTAATCAGACCGTGGATGGTTCACAAACATTTTTAATAATCCAACCCTATGCCAACTCAGCATCACCAGTTTTCCAAACCCAGAATCGTGCACAAAGAACACCGTCACATTCGAAGAAATTATCCATCATTACTAGTTAATATAATATTTTAAGAGGCGTTCGGTCCTACAACACTTTCACCTAACGCTTTCAAAACTTCTCCACGATAATCATCGAAATCTCCTTCGATCTCGTTTATCGTTTTGTCCTCGATAATCCACAACTGGCATTCGGTCTCACGAATCAATCGCTCATCGTGGCTTACCAAAATCACACCTAGTAAGATACCTCGTATAAGACAATAATTACATACTGTAAAACAGGGAATGATCATAGAAAAAGGAACAGCACGCTACATTAACATACATTTTCAAGCTAACACACTCGTAAATATAACAAAGTAATGCGTTTCCAAAACCGAACCTACACTGTACTCGAACGTGTAGACAGGGGCTTAAAAAACACACAAAACAAATACGTGAAACCTAACTCAAATGCTAACCAAATTCACGCAAAAAAACCTGTCCTTTTTACACTTCATGGAAAAAACGTTATCGAATGCATTTGGGGACTGATTACAGATTCGATTAATTTAACGTAATGCTTGATCAGGCCTCTTAGGAAAAAAACGAAAGAATTTATGCACAGCCGTGGCAGGCCGCCATTTTACAAACGACGGACAGGTTCGACTCAGAACTCACTGCCACCGTGCTAGCGCACTTCCTAATACATCAATTAATTAAGCGAACCCACCTCCGGAAAATTCCCGAATGGCTTCTGCCAGGGCGTCAATCGACTCGATATCCAAATTATTCGTCGGTTCATCCAATACCAACACATCCGGAGCCCGCCCCGCCAACTCCGCTAGTGCCACACGCGACTTCTGTCCACCGGATAAATCGGAAATCTTAATGGTATGCGCATGCGCCGCCAATCCAAACTGTCCCAACCGCCGTCGAGCCTCCTGGTAATTCAGATTAAATAACCGCTGCAGATATTCCGTCGCACTTTCGGTCAGACTCAAATGTTCTCCGCTGTGCTGATCAAAGCGCCCAATGCGCAAACGGGCATTCCGCCGCACTTCGCCTTGCACCGGCTGGATATCACCGCATAAAAGCTTGAGCAGGGTACTTTTGCCCACACCGTTCGGCCCCACAATGGCCACGCGGGACGTCATGTCGATACCAAAATCCAGACGTTCGAAAATGTTCGGCTGATTGGCATATCCGAATGTTACGTCTGTTTCGTAAAACAAAATAAATGTCACTATTATATTATAAGACTCGATTTTAACTTAACACCGGTACATACTAACACTATATAAAATTACTACACAATACCAACCAGTACCACCAGTATCAGAACAAAAGCTAAATCCAAACAAAAAGCGAGCTCTTTCAGACAAATGCCTCATGTCCGCACATAGTTTAGGACTCGTCATCTAAATAATTGTCATCATCGAGCAAGCCGCACTACTACAATTTTATTCGATAATTTTCTGACATACGAAGCGCAGTAAACAGGAATAAAATTTTTCCTTGTTGGGCTTGAACCTGTGCTGTCGGAACAGCAATACCTAAACTCTAACCACTACGCTACGGATACAGTCTAAATTTTCTATATTGATTTTACCCTACTTATGCTCGCTTATGATTTGTCATGGAAGCAAACAGTTGATAACAGACAAACAGTAACCGAAAGTGTGCATCCAAAGCCAACACTTACTGAAAGCACCCAGAATGGGAGGGTTCAGATCCGTCGGCTGAGGAAACCGGAATTTCACCATATATTCTCTTATGCGCGTTAACAGCTCCTGTGGACCCTGATCCTCATCATCCTCCTGGTTCTTTTTCTTGCCAATCTTCGACTTCTCCTGTTTCTTCGCCAGCGCTGTTTTTGTCTTTTCCTCAGCTTGTTTGGTACTTTTGCCCGAGCTCTTCAGTTCTCGCAATTTCTTCTCCTGTTTTTCGTATTCTTTCTGCTGTTCCGCCCGTTTTTGGGTTAACATTTTCTTGAACTGGGTGTAGTTGCCGCGATAATAGTATAGTTTCTTTTCGTCCAAATGCACCACGTCCGTGCAGACATTGTCCAAAAAGCTCTGGTCGTGAGACACAATCAGCAAGGTTTTCTTCCAATTCCGCAGGTAATTGTCCAACCAGATGACGGCATTCAGGTCCAAATGGTTTGTCGGTTCATCAAGGAGAAGGAGAGTCGGCTCCATGAATAGAGCTCGTGCTAAAGATACACGCATACGCCAACCACCGGAAAACTGGTTTGTTGGACGAGTCTGCATCTCCACATCAAAACCCAGACCTAGAAGCAAGCTTGCCTTCAAAATTGTTTTAGTTTTTTTTTACATTGTCCACAGCAGCAAAAACCGAATTCCTTCTATAGCAGGGCAAAATCAACGCAAAGTAAAAATTAAAAATAACATCAATTAATCAAGCTACAACTTGTAATCCGTATATTTCCCACAGAATTTCGTTTGTTGTTGGCTGATCTGATCTCACCTGCCAAGATACGACGCGCTCGGGCTTCAGCGGAATCCGCTCCGATAGCCGCCAATTGTTCGTACACGTCCCGTAGTTTCTCCGTAGCTTTCAGATCCCCTTTAGCGGAATCGGCGGTCAGCGTCTTCTCCAGCGCCAGCAATTCCAACCGCTTGGTATCAGCTTTCAACACCGCATCAACAGCGGGTGTCGCATCAGCTACCACTTCCTGTTCGCAGAGAAGAACGTCGATATTAGGAGGAATGGCTAACTGACGACCGGCAATGTGTTGTAGCAAGGTTGTTTTTCCATGCCTAGAAGCAGCATACTAATCATAATTTATGTCAAACGCAGATCAGCAGCGAGTGTGCAACTACAGTCATTCATCAGTCATCTTATATGCATCCGAATCATATGCATCCGGAAAGTAAAAACTTCAAATCAGCTCGTCCAAAACTTACCCATTTGGTCCGACCAAACCATATCGCCGTCCCTGAGTAATCGATAACGTGGCATTGTCAAACAGCTGCTTGCCGCGAGCAGCAATAGAGAATTTTTCGATCTAAACGAAAAAAAATCAAAACTCACTACTGTTTCTAACATGCACCGAAGTGAGGTATAATGTCAAGCACAACACATACAAGGTTACCGAAGTATTTGGTGATAAAACAAACCTTGATATCGACGGCATTTTCCAGATTCTGCGAAGATACTTTGCTCGTCTGCTGCGACACACTAAACTGATCTCCTCCGCCTCCACCGGAAGAAGCGCCAGGCCCTCGGCTGGCCAATTCCGCTTCGTACTTCGCCTGTTTCTCCTTCGCCAAGCGTTCCTTCCGCGTAAGCTTGGGGCCCTCCTCAACCGGTTCGGCTGTAAAAAAAATCCGAATGAACAATTGCTCAAAAGTGGTAACCAATTAGAAAGAGCCATCTAGCAGATCCGAATCCGAAAGTATGTCGATTCCAGATTTCATCATTCAAAAAAGTAATAAAATTTTACCAGTAGCAAGGACTAATAATTTTCATCTCTTAGTCTTTACCAAAATATTGATTACTTCTCAGATGCTACTTCAAGAAAAAAAACTCCATGCGTACTGGAACATAAGTATCTAAACGCATTCCAGGTTATGTAATCGCTTAGGAAAAATTTCACGGGTGCGTTTTCTGTAGTGTGTTTTCAAAAATGTTTCAAGACTCTGGTTATGTTGTCTCAGAGTAAAATTTAAGCAAAACGGTAACATTTAATTTTCAGAAATTGCAAAACAAGCATATTAAGAAATTTATTATGAGAATTTACCTTTGACTTGAGCTGCTTTCTTCTTCGAGGTATTTTCATCATCTTCAGAATCATCCTCCGATTTTTCATCCTCTTCATCGTCATCATCATCCTCGATATCGAGCGCAGCAAAAGCATTAGCTACACGAGCAGCTGTCTTCTTCCCCGTACCTTTTCCCTTCGGCACTGGTTTAACCTCCTCCTCATCCGACTCTTCATCACTCTCCACAAATTTTACTGCGGGTTTCCCCTTCTTTTTCGCGGCCATTTCTTCATCCGATGCCTCCTCCTTGTCCACTTTAGCTCCAGCTTTTCCCAGTTTTCCCTTCGGTTTTCCCTTTTTCTTGTCCTTCTTCTCTTTCACCTCGTCTTCTGACTCTTCACCCTCATTATTTTTTGCGGCCTTCTCCTTTTTCTTTTTCCCCTTATCGTCATCTTCCAGATGATCCCCAGCCTCCACATCCTTCTGCCCCTTTTTCACCTTTACCTTTTCTCCGTCCTCGGATTTTTCGGTAGTTTTTCCTTTCTTCTTCTTGTCTTTTTTACTTTTACCTTCCTCTTCAGAATGTTCATCTTCAGGGGTTTCTTCCGCTGGTTTGGGCTTCTCCTTCTTTTTATCCTTTTTCGTCTTCATCTCGGGTTCGGACTCATCATTTTCCTCGGGGGCAGCTGTGGGTTTCTTTTTATCTTTCTTTTTATCCTTTTTTGCTGCTTTGGCTGCATCATCGGATTCTTCATTATCTGGCTTCGCGCTGGGTTTTTCTTTTCCGGCTTTTTTGTCTTTCTTAGGCTTAGCCTCTTCCTCAGACATATCGGCTACGTCGTCCTTAGCGGGCGGTTTCTGTTTGGCAGGCGGTGGTTTTTCTTTTTTGGTGTCCTTCTTGACTTTGGTCTCCTCGGCAGAGTCGTCCATCTGTTCGGATTTCACAGTCACAGATGCAGAAGCTTCGTCTGCGTCGGCTTTATTCTTCTTGTCCTTCTTACCCTTCATTCTTTCCGATTAAATAGTTATAAAAACCAAATAAACTGTCAAAATAAACTATAAAACCATATCACAGAAGACTGAAAACTCCAGAATCGGTGATTTATCTGATTTTAAAACAGTTTGAAAAATGTTTTTCAGAGGCTGTCTGATGAAATCATCGCTACCGACTGCCTGGGCATGTTTGCGCAGTGACGCATAGCGTACGCATTGGCGTACGGCAAACGTACACTTGCGCATACGGTATGCGCAAGTGGAGGTGCTGGAAAACGCACAGTCTGCGCCAAATGTTTAGGCTTGTGAGGATAGCTTATGGGTATTTACTGCGAAAGGCAGCGCATTCCTGTACCCCTGAACTTGAAATGCGAATGGCGACTAAACGGCGCCGTACGGTCTATGAAAAAAACCAAAAGACGGCAGGGCCCTGGTTACAAATGTTCAGGATTTTAAAACTTCCAGTTGATTTGGTTTCTATGTTGAGTCGTTGACTGTTGTATTTCGTTTGTTTTACGCTTACGGTCAGTGTTAGTTTTTCTCCACTTGTTTTTACTTTGCTTTTTATGGTTATTCTTTTTTGTTTGAGTTTAGCGGAAAAATCTACATATCGATTGATAGGATGCAAAGTGGAAATGTTGTTGGATTCGGTAGCGATTGTTTGAATGCACCCTGTGTAAAATCGGATCAACGGAAGCCGCGGTTTGCGGTTTTTTGTGTGATTCCTCATGGAGCTTATCATCCCGTTCATGTGATTTTATGATTATTATCATTGCTACCTGTTGGAATAGAATTTCCTGGTTATTGTTATTGTATTTCCGTTTTGCTGTGACCGTTGCCGTGGGGGAATAAATAGCGTCTGAGGAATGGTTCCTGCGTTACAAGGTAACAAGGAACAAGGTGCTTAAACCGTTAAACTGTTAAACACCACTAATCATCTAATGTCAGAACATGGTGGAAATGCTTTTCTTTTTAATTAATAATGGAGCTTCTCCCCATTCGATAGTTAAACTTAAAAGATACGTATCATAAAATCTAGGTGACAGGTGTGGTCGAAATCGTGTTCTTCGCCTGTTGGGCAGGCAGCGGCAAAAATATATTGTTGTTGATTTTTGTCTTTTGATTCCACACATTGTTGTTTGGGTTGAAGTTATGAAGTAAGTAGTTTGATACCATAAGGCATGCCACTCTGCATGCCAGTTTCGGACTGATTGATTAAGCCTTGAAGGCATAGTACTTTTTGGCAGTAAAAGACTGTAAGATCAGTAAGAATATATTATTCTCAGCATTCACCGCAAAATGAGAAATTCAGATATTTAAATTTGTTATTTAAGCAGTCAGACTATGCATTTTCGACCAGTTATTTATTAAAGTTAGCCTTTGGGCATCGGAGATTTGTGTGAATTTAGTAGTTCACTGTAATCGCGATGAACGCTTTCAGCAAGCTAGATTTTCGAGCTCAAATAAAAGTCAAATTGTTCGAGATTTCGACATTTTCTTTGAACAAGCTATAATTATTTACTGTCGATACAACACACGGGTGTTACTTATTGTTAATTTATTTATAAAATAGCCGAAAAGCATCAAATAATGTTTCGGATTTAACTGCTTTCGCCTTTGCTTTGCGGCTTCCGCTGACTGGGTAAAACTACTATGAGCGGCGTTTTTTGTCGGGTTTTGTTCAAGATGGCCATCTTCTGGCGTCCTTTTTTCCTGTATTTTACTGTAATTTTTCACGATTTGTGCATTTATTTAAATAATAATTTGGAAAATGGCTTTTTGATCGTTGAAACTTGACTGTTAAAAAAAGGACATGTCTTTAGTCGGGCCTTTGCGAATGTGCTGTGCCAAGCGGATATTTTCCAGATAGCAAAATGTTTCTACGAGTATCATTGCATAATATTAATATTTTTGGGCCGGGCTTGATTGTGGTTTCACGATAACATTCACCAGAAGCTGATTAGAATGCTTTTACGGCGCCGTTTCCATGAACAGGATCAATGATTAATGCAATTTGTTTTCCATACTTTACGAGTTGCTAACATGGGTTAACCTGTGCTTGTCGTAGATGACTGACATCATTTTATCGGAGTTTGTCAACGAGACAGGACTGGAGCCGGCGGTGGCGCAGGATATCCTCCTTAGTCATTCCTGGGACCCCCAGGAGGCACTGAAAGCCGTCACCACCTTGAAGACAGCCAGACTCCGCGAGGGAATCAAGCAGACCAGCCCCTCGTTGCCCTCACCGAAACGATTCCCTGACCAACCGGCTGGACGAGTGGACAGCGCGGGCAACATCATTATTCCCGTTGGACGACCTATTCTCCAGAAAAATGATGCGGTGGAGATTTCGGAGGACACAGCCGGTAAAATATCAACGGCAAAGCGTGATAATTACGTAAAATTTGATAGTTGACGAAATTTTAAATGCGAGCTTTGTAAAATGTGGGCAGGTGCAATTGTTGCGGTTTGCTATCGGCAATTCTCGTAAGCAGTGTGCATCGTTTGCTGTACTGTTGCGTAGAGGACGTAGATGGATGGCTCTGTAAATACTAATTGGTTCTTGCGTTATCGAGAACTTAGTGCTCGCGCATATACTAGTACTTCAAGTACTTTGTAAAGTTTAAAAAACTGGAAAAAGTAGAACTGTTTTTTTGTCAAATTTCGAGAAAATTACATCTTTGCTTTTTTTGCTTACAAAGTTTATCTGTGATCTTGGTTTTTGCTTGTTCCATGTTTTACTTGTTATATTTTGCGAAATTTAAGTTTTAAAATTTTAGTTTTTGATTAATATGGGGTATGAAGTATGAAGTGACGTGCGGTGCGATAAATGCAAAGTGCTCTTGAGTTATCCCAAATATTTGTAATTAACAATTATTTATTTATAATTGTGTTATGCAGGGCGTAAGTGGAGTCGAGGAATATCGCGGGCATCGGAGAATCTGGCGCTGGTAACCCGTGCCCGCAGTGAAGTAGCCAAAGGTTTCACCCTGGATGACCCAGCCTGTGTGCCTAACCATACCTTTACTCTTCCGGATTTGACAGTTATTCAGCCGGAAGATTTTCGTGCATTTGTGGAGAATGATCTCATTGAGACGGCTACATTGGTCTCTCTGGAACAAGCAGGTTCGTTTGCAGTGAACGCTTATTATTCAGTATTCTGTTGTGGAAAGTTGTCTAATAATTTCTGTGACATGGCCATGAGATGCAGTACTTGTACCGTAACTCTGTATCTTAGTTGATTCAAACTGATTATATGCAGTTTTTCCATAACAGTTTTTCTACATTGTTTTTGTGGCAGCAACGTTCCGTTAGCAATGTTTGTTGAAGTTTACAAAGTATTTCGCAAAAACTTAGTATGCAATAACAGTAAGCTTGTTGTCGCATTGCAGCGTTAATATTGAGAATGTGCGAGAAGTACTTTAAGCATTGTTATTTTTTTCTTCTGTAAATTTTAGTTCGCTTTATTTTTTAAAAAGGCCATCCGCTGTATGAAATTTATTCATTGCTTATGTAAGATGGCATAAATATCGCATGAAGTTAGGATTGGCAGGCGCTGCACTACACCTTCTAAGCCAGCCAGCAAAGAAGCCATAAAAAATTATGTTTGTCTGGTCGCTTAGGTAATGCATGTGACGATTTCTAGACTGTCTAGCAAGAGAACGATTTTGATGAACGGGCATAATCAACACGCGGCGCATTGCACAAACTGCAATAATGTGATGTTGGCCGAAAAATAGGTCGTATGATATAAAATAAACACGGTGACGGTACACATGATAAGTACTTAACGTGGGGTCTGTGTATAGGTCGGCTGAATTGGTGGGCTGATACGAAACCCTGCCAACGCCTACTTCCGCTGGCCACCACCGGCGACGGGAACTGTCTGCTGCATGCCGCCTCCCTGGGCATTTGGGGCTTCCATGATCGACTACTGACGCTGCGGAAATCCTTGAACCACATCCTCAGCCGTAGTGAGTACGAGGCGGCCATTTATAGGCGGTGGCGATGGCATCAAACCATTTTGAACAAACAGGTGGGTCATGCTACTAATTAATTAAGCAACTAAATAGTAGCACGAAGGTTTTCGTCTCAGGCAACCAGTGTTACATGGGATTTTGGAAGGCGTTTTCGCTACAACTACAAGTAGTTGTGTACAGTGTCAATAATATGAAAACTTCTTGTTAGTGAGCAGTAACTGTTCTTTTCAGCTTGTTCTGCTTGCCTTTGTATGCTTGATGATCTTTGATCGTTATCAGCTTTGCATATAGTATTTTAAGACATAATATTTTTATGTTTCAGAGTGGCCTAACTTATACCGAGTCGGAATGGGATAAAGAATGGTTCAATATCCTGAAATTGTCTTCCACGGAGCCGCGCAGCAGGGTGCACAACTATATTTGTTGCGAGAATTCTCCCAAGAAAAAGTAAGTTATTTATTTATATGTTGTTGTATAATTGCACTGTTTTTACTTTTATGGAATGAACGACTCTATGGAAGTTGTAAAACAAGCGGATCGTTGAAATATCATAGTCTAGTGTCACCATCCGGAGTAACCTATTCCTGAATTATTGAGCGTGCAGCTTGCATTACGCATAACATATCTCGGTAACGGATTGGTTAATTTTAGTGAATGCTGTTTTTTTAGTGTGGTTGTAAAATTAGTAGAACACTGAACCGTCAATGTTGCTGTCTCAGATTAAAATTAGTGTTAAAATATTTCATAATAGCGTTAGTCACGTTTTCGCACTACTGGCTACTATTTCGGTACATAGTGATAGAAATGGATCGATGCAGAGCTGCTGAAAGTTTTCCGTTTGAAAAAAAAACTGACTGACCCTGTTAATTCTTTCTTATTATTCATAGAAGTGCTTATTTTGGTCTTCGAAAAATTCATCCTCATACAGTCATCTCAACGTATTCGGATTACTGCCAGAATTAAGTAATTTGAATGAAACAACTAAGGCAACTAGCTTAATTAACTTGGTGTTTATATCGGTTTCATCTGGGCTTGACGGAAAAACTGTTATACGATGCACATGAAGTGATCCGTATCCGATACAAGCAGCTGATATTTCTATGTGCACGATTAGCATGCGACACATGACTAGGTTGCGATGGCGGCAGGCGCATCATCCAACCGGTAGTGTGCACTTGACCGTAATCCAGTACGGCTCACCTGTTGTTGTTTTCCAGTGGCCTGGCAGTGGTTGAAGAGAAGGAGAGCGAGACAACTGGTCCGGCATCCTGTCATGATAGCACCGATGATAATACTCAGTATGAGAGTCTTGAGGAGGTGCATGTGTTTGCACTGGCCTACGCCATCAAACGACCCATCATCGTCATTGCCGAGGTGTATCTGCGGGATAGTGCCGGAGAGCCCTTGGCGCCGATTCCTTTCGGAGGGATCTACCTACCCCTGGGATGCGATCCCAAAAATTGCCGACGGTAAAACTAGGAAACTTATATCTTTGAGGAAATTACTGTAGTGGAGAACGGTTTATTAGAAGCATTTGCAACGAAAATACGAGTATACATAGTTAGCCATCATGTACTGAAATCATTTTTTTCCGTCAGTTACAGCCGCACATATTTGAAATGACATCGTCATGGGGTGAATTCCGACTAATGTACTGCAGGTTGCAACGTAGTGCAGATGCACCTTTGGTTGCTCGATTACCGTTTAACTGTTGGCTTAAGGTTTTATGAAGAAAAAACCGTGATATAACCATAGCCAATGTTTTACGAGTAGGCAGTGTAAATTTTTTCTATATCAACGTATCAATAAATCTGTTTTGGATCAACAAATTCCCTTTTTGTTCTTTTTATTTTTATAGATTAGAATTGGTTTGAGGCTATAATGCGTTGACAGAAAGTTCGTAAATGACGAATTGCATACGCTTTTTTCTAACAGGTCACCTCTGGTGTTAGCCTACGACGCGGCCCACTTCTCCGCTCTAGTCCCCATGAAACGCGACACCCCGACCGCCGACGCCGACCTCCCTGCCGTTATACCGGTGACCGACAGCCAAGGCCAACTCCTTCCCATCCTCTTCCTGGTGGACCCCGGCGAATCCTTCCAATGGGGCCACGAAGACAATGATCCGCAGGTGATCCACCGGTTGACCAACATCTCCGCCGCCGAAAAACTGCACGTCCTGCTCACCTACCTGGATCTGGTGAAAGTGACGGCGGTGGGCAAGGGCAAGGACAGTGTGTCGTCCAATGCGGGTGTGGATGATCGCCGCTCCACGGCGGATTCCAATGAGAGCGAGAGTTCTTCGGGCGGGCGGAGTGATGTCAGTAAAGGGAAAACGGGGATTGGGAAGCATATGAAGAGCGTCAAACAAAAGCTGAAGCGCAGCATCTCTAAGTTGACGCGGCGCACCAGTGAGGAGAACGATGTGGGTGTGGTGAAGGGGGCGCAGGAGAAGAACGCGGTGGCCCAGCAGCTGCAGCAGAAGGTCAACGGGGTGGTGGAGGAAAAGGAGAAGGTGGGGTCGGTGGAGACGATAGGGGAAAATGGGAGTTGCCGGTGGAAGATGGAGACTGTGAAGGATGTTCCGGAAGGCGGTATGCTGAATGCGTCTAGTGCGGTTCTAGGTAAGCAATTGCGCTGCAAATTATGTCATAACTGGAGCTTCAGTTACTAACTTTATTAGCTGGAGTTGTGAAATTGTGAATGTTGCATTATTCTGAATTTATTTACGAGTCCCAATGTTGAGTGCTCAGTTGAAAAAATTGTAGGCCTCAAGCACAGCCTGATATTACGTAATACAATAAATACATATTACTTCCAATGTGGACGGAGTTGTAGTGGAAGGACAGGCGCTTTTATTTCCCTGTAGATATTGCCATAGAGACTGAATTGTAAAGTACTGCTTAAAAGGATTGGACTTCTTTTTTTCGATTACCAGTTTCCTCATTTAATAAGCTGATAATTTTCTTACAGGTTCGTTGCTATCATGCGATGAGGAGACATCGTTCCACTCGGAGATGATAAGTAATTACCTCACCGCTGCACGCGCCCGTTTCGCTCAGCATCTCAAAGACCGCGAACGGCGCGACAATCTCCAGCTGCCCAACGGCAGCCTGCGGTGCGCCAACATCGGTTGCGACAATCTGGGCTCGTTAGCCAACAATTATCTGTGCGCGGGCTGCTATAATCGGCAGAAAACGCAGGTGGAGGAGATGCGCGCCCAACGGGAGACGACCACCATCGGCAAATCCACCTTCTACGCCAGTAACGCCAAGGAGGAGCTGCCGGTGTTGAATAATCTAAAGACGGTGAGGGGGAACAGCACGCCGCAGCTGCCCCGGCCCAACCCGATGGAAATCAGTTCGGCGCGCTTCCGCCCGGTGGAGGAGGACTGCGAAGTGCGACGGTGTGCCACGGAGAACTGTCCGTTTTTCGGGCGGGAGAAGAATGAGTGGCTGTGCTCCCAGTGCTACCGGTCGAAGAATGTCGCCCTCAGGTGACGGGTGGGTGAGAAATAGGGGCTCGCGAAGAGTATTTTTTTGATTGGCGTGGATCGGGCTTCGAGTTTCCTTTTGGTAAAGTTTTACACAGAGCGGCGTCGTTGTTATGTGGTGTTTTTTTGATAAAAGTTTCATTGTGTTTTTTGGTTGGGTTTGGCCGGTGCACACGAGGATAAAACTAAATGATAAGGGTGCATGGAATTTTGCTGTTATGTGCATAATGTTACTGTACTGTATTTATTTTCTGTATCTGTATAGTGACGGTGGCATACCTGTATATACGAATAAAACTAAATTCGCAAGAACGACTTCTTTTATTCTTTTCCAGCTATCTGCAAATGCATTCGAAACAATCACCAAATAATCGTATGTTACCATACAAAGAAAACAAGACTGTAAAAACTATAGACGAGCACAAAGGCACAAACGAGTATTCAACAATCAAACAGGTATACAAATTCGAATAATAACTGGAAAACGGCAAAAAAGAAAGAATTTAAATTTGAGCAATCAGTATAATTCACAGCAGGTAGTTTGGCAATTTCACAGCATAATCCGGGAATTCACAATCATGTTTGCGGTTCAATGTCGACTTCGAAACTTTGCGGAGAATCTCTCCATTCGAGCGACCGCGACATAAAATCGGCCACAATAACCGGCAAATTGGGATCACGGTAAATACCACGATGGCCGTATTTGAACTCCCGGCTGTACTCGACGAATTCCGTCACCACATTCGCTCCTCGCTGTTTGGCAACATCATACAGTTTCCTACAATTTAAATCACCGGTTGAATTTTCTTACAGCTACTCAGCACTTGTAGCCAGAATAACCAGATGTCACAGAATTAAAAAAAATTCATAACTGTTATTAAACAAGATTGTGCACTTGCCGTTACACTACATTTTTTTCACCATCTACGTATAATACGGCTAGTTGCTAATGCAATTACAAAAAATATCTACTACACTGTAGGTACGAGTATGTACTCTGATTTTCGAATAACAGTTTTGAAAATGTACTCTGATTTTCGAATAATAGTTTTGAAAAGGGCTGCTTGTACCAAAAACGACGTAAAAGTTAAAAAGTACCAGAAAAGTATTGAATTAAAGAATGAGTTGTTGCACGCGATATACCATTAATTTTGTAAGCCGATGGTTTCGGAAAATTACAAAACGAAAATGGAGACGTAACACCCATACTGTACTGACAAAACAAATCATTTAAAAGATACAATGACCGAGGAATCTAGGTTAATTTGTATTACCTTCCCAAACTGACGGGAATGACCCAGTCGTCTTCCGCGTGCAGGATAAGCAGAGGCACACGGGTGTGCTGCACCCTCTCCGAGCTATTCAGCGTCATGTGCACCTCTTCCAGAGCGTCCAACAAAATCTCCGTAAACGCCGGCACTTGATGGAACGGGAATAACAGCGGACTGGATCGCATCACATCGAACATACTGGAATATGGGCTGTCTAGGATGAGACCGGAAATGCGTGAGCTGGCCGCTTCCAGAGTCTGCACCAGGCGCACCGATACACCGGTGCCCAGGGAATGGCCCCAGAAAAAAATAGGACGGTTGGGATATTTCTTCACGGCCCACCGATACACCGCGGATGCATCCTACACATTTATTATTATTAATTTTCGTAATTCATGGAGAGTGAGAAAAATACGGCCTCGTTTAATTTGAGTTGGTACGGCTGCGACACGCAACAGAATCATTTTCTGCAAAACGTTGCTGTACATAATGTAAGTGCGGATTTTTTTCTTTTGCACTGCTCTCTGCAAACCGATGATAATAATTTTTTTCAAGCAAAGATGCCATTTTCAATTCTGTTGCAGCCGAAATTACCATTTAATTCTTTTTGGTAGCATCTGTTTCGAGAAAAATGCTGGACATAATTCAGTTCCAAATTAAAACACAACGTTAACATACACATAAATCTCCGTACTTGCAGAAAAACCTTCTTACTAAAAATTAAATATTTTTATAATAAAATAAATGACATCATAAAATGACTGGCAAACGAAATTTTAAGATGACCACTTTTTCCAACACATTCCCGAACCGTCAAGACACGCTCTGATTCTGATATCACACAGCAGCGTCCGTGTACGTATGAGCACGGTGACTCAGCCCACTGCCTGTGCTAATTGGCTAGCTAAAAACAAATTTCACGTGTCCACCAATCCGCTACGGCATCCTGCTAACTACAACATGGCACTATGCTCGTCATGCTGAATCATCCTCGATAAGCGTGATTGAGCGCTTTCGCTCCGCATATAAACACCAGATTCGTGCAGGGCAAAATCATCTGTAGTTTGTTTGGTTCAGACTTCGCTCAGACGCTCACCTCAGCACGTTTTGCGAATTTTAACTCAAAAGGAGGAATCTGTGCTAAGCGTTTTTTTCTCCTATCGTTGGTAATATTTTTCATCGCGTCAAACAATGGCCGTGCAAGTGAAGCTCTACATTGAACCTGAGGGCGAAATCCGCCGTTTCAATTTGGAAGCCAACACCAACTACGCTGCGCTGGAGCAACGTGTTCGCCATCTCGTTGGCCGCGATAACTTTCGCCTGTTTTGGCAAGGTAAGATTTATGTTTATCGAAATAACGATGAAGGGTCTGAGAAATGTTTTTTTAAAAGTGAAACTCAGGCCAGTTCAAAACAAACCGCTACCAGACGAAAGAGAAAGGTCGTCTTAAAGAAAGTCGATGTCTCAGTTTCTGGTTTTTATTTACGGATTGTGAATAACGTGATCATTTCTTCTACGGTAAACTTAGGTTAGTTAATTTTAAGTGACTTTATGCTTCAGTATTCCGTATCCGTACCAGTTTTTATGTAACGAATAATCTTATTTAGTTAAATGTTTTGAAAGATAAAAATTTTTAAAATGTTTGAAAATTCCGTAGTTGCGCCATAGAGATTAGAGACGATTGCATTAACTTTTATATTTTAATAAATTATATTCGCACACATATTTATTAGTTACATGGTATATTTTATTAGATTCGGAAGGCGACTTTGTTGTGTGTGGCTCCGACGATGAACTGAAGGATGCCCGTGAGTCGCGCGCCAACGGGGCCCCGCTGCGCGTCTACCTGCGCCCGACCAACAAGCCGTCCAACGCGGACGAGCCCAAGGCTGTGCACCGTCAGGTGACGTGCGACGGATGCCAGGGCGAGGTGGCCGGCACCCGCTACAAGTGCATGGAGTGCCCGGATTACGATCTGTGCGAGAAGTGCATGAGCGAGGGCAAGCATCCCGAACACGACATGCTGGCTGTGCGCACTCCACGCACCCACGAATGGAAGGTAAGATAATGCATCTTAATAAAATCTAATATTATATTAGAATATTAGATAAAATTTAATGAATTACGAAAAATTTCAATTTTTGACGGTTTTCTTAACAGGAATATTTTAATAACGACTATCTTAACGTTTAATCATGTAATTATTGTGATATGATTTAACTAATTGTATTAACTGTTTGCAGAAGCTGTTTGCGCATGGATACGGCACTCGCGAAGGCCATCGCGGTCACCGTCATCACGGCTGTGGTCCGCGCTCAGCGCGTGGCCCATGCGGGATGCCCGGCATGGTCCCACCACCAACCATGCCCGGAGCTCCCCCGACCATGCCACCGCCCTACATGCCGCCCTTCAACGGTGTCCCGCCCTTTGTTCCGCCGTTTTTCCGCCACATGATGAACCGCGGACAGGGCCCGGTCGACCAGACCGTGGAGATGGACATCAACATCGACCGTCCACTACACGAGGTCATCAGCGATGTGGCTAGGAAGGTAACTGAAGCCATGAACGTCGCCCAGCAGGCGGCTCAAGAAGCCACCGCCGCTGCTGCGCCGGCGGCGGAGAACAAAGAGGAGGAGAAGAAGGAAGATGAGCCGGTCAACGTGACGGCCACACCGGTCGCCGAACCGGTGACCATGGTGGCGGAGACGGTGGTGCAGGATGCTGAGCCACAGGTCAGCCAGGAAGTGGAAGGCGGATGGACGCATCTGCAGGCTGAGCCCGTGGAGACCGAAGAGAAGAAGGAATTCCAGCAGGCGACGCCGGATAACCAGGCGCCGACGCCAACACAGCCACAGGGTGGTAAGTTACATTTTTCCAGATACTTATGCACCGATAAACGAATACTTATGAACCGTGAATTAATAAATATTATTATTCAAAGTAGTCTGTTAATTTCCGTGCAATAACCCAACGCTTAGGTTAACGCTGAATAAATTGCAGGATGATCAATATTATATTTTATCACCGTGTTGTTATTCAAAAAGTACCACAACAAACTTCAGTTCTGATTTAAAAATGGTGATTTTGCTGTTTTTAGAAGGGCGCATTGAAGCGGCACTGCACGCTATGGAAGATATGGGATTTCGCAATGAGGGAAATCTGCTGCGACGTCTGCTGACTAACTACAACGGAGACATTTCGCGCGTTCTGGACTCCATCAAATAATCCATCATCAGCAAATGTGGCTTTCTCTGCTTTTGCTTCGCAGTTCGCCATATTGATAACTGCTTGTTGTACTATATTGTATTATACTCCTTATCAGTGACTAGTTGCATAATCGCTAAATGTCCAAGCATTCTTCATCTTTCTTTCGCCATCCTCCTATCGCGCAGTAAATAACTGAATCTGAGCTATTTTACTTGTGTCCACGGTTGAGTGGCGTGACCCGCTGCGCAAATATTTTGCCTACTTTTGTTTGCTACCGCAGTGCAATTAAAATCAGAAAATGTTACACGACAGCTTTTGGTACCGTATTGCATTTGTGTACTCTGTAATTATATGATGTATCTATAATTGTGTTTTTCTCACCTCCTTTGTATTTTTAAAACCTCCAAAACTCCTACACTTTATAGCAATTCGGTTCGTCAAAATAAGTATTCGCTGTACTTGGCTGCACTTAAACATACAGTACATTTTCAACCAAAACTGCAAATTTGCGACAATTTAAGCATCAAAATTCAAAAAAGCAATCAATTTTGCTGCATTCATCAAAAGTCAAACAACAAAAAAAACGAAAATTTAATGTAAATATCAACAAAAACAAACCTTCTACACTTATTCAAATTTTTATTTGAATACTGTATATACACCTATCTGAAAAGCAAATATATGGAAAAAAGAAATAAGTACTACAAAAATGCTAAAACTGCGTTACAATTAATGTAGACGCAGCAAGCTGCTTGTTACTGCTTAGCTAAGTGCTTACATACGTACATCCAGCAGATCCAACTCGGACGTCGGCACTCCACTGGAATCCCCGTATCCCCGATAGTCAAACGTCACCACCGGACAGCCCATGCGCCGCAGCAACTGGTACATCTGGATGCGATGATAGGCGGCCCGCGAGCCCTGCGCTCCGTGAATGTACATCACCACTGGGCGTTCCGTCCACTGCGCCTGCTTCTCAAAGACAAACGGCGTCGCTGCATCCTCGGTCAGATGCCAGACGCCCAGCGCGACCGGACCGTTGTCCAGGAAGAAGTTCTCGCCCTGCAGATTGTACACCGCCAGATCGGAGAAGTTGCGGAACGGCGGAAAATGAATGTGATTCATGAAGATCACCCATCCCACGGAGGAGGGGTGGAATTTGAAGAGGAAGCCGAAGATGAGGCCGACCGAGAGGACGAAGGTAGCGAATCCCAGGAGGATCTTCGTCAGCAGAATGGAGATGTCTTTTGCAAATGAGTGCGGGCTGTACGAACTGAACGCCATGGAGTACGATAAAACGAAAGAGAAATACCAGGAGTTTTATTTTATTATTAGCAATCAGTCAAAATTAAAACTAGTCACACAAGGCCTTGCCAACAATCTAGAAAGCACTTCAAGTGCTGCCCACCAAGTTGAAAGATTATAAGAAAGTTTTTAAAAGAAGAATACTATTGACATAAAATACCACAAAAAGCGTAATATGATTATAATAAATGACAAAAAATTGTTAGTAAATTAATTTGGCGCTCCATTAAAGCTGATATGATACATTGCTGTCGCACAGACTGCTACCAAAATATGAGTATACTCGTGTGGACAGAGTTGTTGCGCGAAGCCAACACACTACGTCATATGCCCACTTTTGCCTTATAACACGGCAAGGCGTTTGGCAGTGAACCGTAATAATTTAAGCCTCACCAACACTTCGGAAGTCGGAACCTTGAATATTGTACAGTATAATAAGAAAAACCGGCGATTACAGTAAGCGAAATGTTTAAATATAAATTAGAAAAGAAGCGATGTAAAACCATTTATTTCGTACATACAGCATGCTCTCATCAGAGTGCAACGGTGAAAATACCTATGCACGATGATTCTGCAGTCATTAAAAACCGTCAATATAATAATAATAACAAACTTTAGATAAAAATCAAATGAAAAGATAAACGCCCATCAGCACCAGCACGCCTTAATTTGAATGACATTTATTAAAAGATCAGTATTCCGCAAGTTGTACAGCTTCGGCATTCGGGTGCATGGGCCCAACCGTGTATAGTAAAACAGCAAAACTAACAGCGATACTACAGCAGTCAGCAATATCCAAGCCAGGCATCGTTTGCAACCGCAGAAAAAGGAACAGTCGTTTGAAAATAAAAAAAAAAACTAGTTACCAGCCAAGTAAACGAACGGCGACAACCGAAAGCCCTCTTTAGAACCATCAAAACGGAAACACAGCCAAATAAGCAAATAGCATCATTCCGGAGAATCCATCCCAACCCACCCAAACCGCAATAAATAAATAACAGCGTCATTGGTCCAATGGCATTTGCGCCAACACACTTTGTAACGAAGATCCGGATAACTGAAAATGACTAAAATCCCGAGTATTGACCAGTCAGCTGCGACCTACGCGGGGTATGCAGTGAATGCATATCTCTGTCCCCTGTGCGTCTCAAACCACGACTCCAACCAATCCCCACAAAAATGACCAGAATTATTTTCAGAAAATCTAAGCTTCGACTTTCTCAATGTGAATATTCGCCCGCTTGGAATCCCGGTATTGCCGGCACACCGTAAAGAAATCGTTGACAATCCGCGGGAGATCCGGATCCCGATAAATCCCTTTATGCCCGTAGCCCAGCTCCGCCCGGAACGTGACAAACTCCACGGGCTCCGGCCGCTGCTTAGCCGTGGCGTACAACTTCCGTCCCAGCTCAATCGGGACAATCCGATCATCCTCGGCGTGCAGAATCAACACGGGCACTTTCAGCGTTAAAATCGCCGCGGAATTATTTAGGTTGATGCTCATGGTCCGCATGGCGCTGGTGAAGCTGTCGGTGAATCCGGGTACCATGTGAAACGGCGATAACAGCGGGAATTTGCGGGCCGCATCCAGCATATCGGAGAACGGGGAATCCAGCACCAGTCCATCGACGGCATGGCCCATTCCCTCCAGATGCTGGACGAGATGGGTGGAGACACCCGTGCCCAGTGAATGTCCCCAGATGAACACTTCCTTCTCTGGGTATTCCTTGCGAATCCACTCGTACACGGCGTAGCCATCCAACACCAGATCGTGCTCCCCCCACGGCGCCCCACTGGAATCCCCGTACCCCCGATAATCAAACGCCACGATGGTAAAACCCATTTTCCGGAGATTTTTATACAGTTCCACGCGGGTAAAGGACGCGCGGGTCCCGGCGTTCCCGTGGACATAGAGGATGACGGGGAGCTCCGTCGCGGAAGGCAGTAACGGACCCTCCGGGGGGATGCGCCACACACCGAGGGTGATGCCGTTGGAGCGCAGATACAGATTATCGCCTTGTAGGCTGTGCATGGAGAGATTGCTGAAGTCAATGATATATTTGGGGGGCCAGGTGGCGTGGTTCAGATAGCAGAAGAAGCATACTGTCCACGGGAAGAAGGAAAAGAGAAATTTTAGCACCAGACCAGAGATAACAACGAAGGAAGCGAACATGAAGAGCGCGCGGAATAGCAGGTAGAGGGGATACAGAACGTATGATCTTATATGGGCTGGAGAGAGAAACGCCATTCTTTAGGGAATCTGTTCAAAGGTGTTTACAGGGAGGATAAAAATACTACAGGGTACGGAGTAAACGGAACAGCCAAACAGATGATTTTTTGGCTGGGAACAAAATGAAACGGAAACGTGATCGATGTGGATGATTGCCATTGATTGGGGAATTTGCCAGGGCAAAATTGCGTTTTGTTTACGGTGTGGGGGTGGCTGTTGGTTTGTGTAACGGCAAGTTGTGGATTAACGGGGTTAACTTATGGCGAAGTGCAGTTTCACTCTCCGTGGAGACACACTCGTTACACTACCTGTACTTGTAAATTCCAATACCAGTATTAGGTTGTAATTGGTACCGTCTAGCGAGGCATCCGCTTCTGTACTACGCAATTCATTTCGAAATTTGTTATGTCTTGTAAAAACATCGGGTTTCAATTAAAAACTAAAACAGTGAAAATTTGTTTTTAACTAATCCATGAAGCCTGAAGGCAAATAAAAGGACACTTTAACTTGCCGCTGGCATTAAAAAGTTTCAAACTACTTTATGGAATTCCACTTCTTTTTAATGGAATTTGGCAAACGGAAAGCGATATCGATCGATAGTTTACAATCGGAAATGACAGAAAGCAAAAGCAGACCTGCTGACGCGAGGTGTCCACTGTCAAAGTGTGCACACCGAGAATGGTAAACTACGTGATACTTATCCTTTGGTTTTTGCGGTTTTCCGCACATGTTCCCACTATATACTGATGAGGTAATATAAACACTGCTCTCCATCACCGCAGAATTTGACATCCGTGAAGGCGGGAGACGTTGGATGGGAGAAATCATCAAATGGGACTCGCGTGTCGACCTGGCTTCGCTCTGCTGTTCGTAATATTAATTGGAGCAGTGTGTTTTTGCTTGGGCGTGATTTCCTTCAGCTGTAAAGGAGCCGCGCAGAATCCGTTCGGATGGGCCGGCTGCTGGACACCGGAATACCGTTTTTTCTCCATCGGGAATGGGGAGGCTGACAGTCCGGACAGTCCGCCGCGTGAAGATCCCCAGATCCGGGAAGACGTGGAGGAAAAACACAGGCTCATCAGTAAAGGTGTGTAATGTGTATACTGTTGTGTAGCAGGGCGAAATTTTTATAAAGCTAACAATAACCCAAAATTGGTAATGTTAACTTAATTTATTTAGTGTACTGTGAAATTGTATGTTTGTATTGTACAGATCTGTACCTGTATAAATGCATAATGTGAAGTGTGCATTTTATTTTTGAATTGCTTATGTTAAATTGTTAATACAGCGTTGTAAGTTGATTGTTGTAAACTTGTAGTCTGTAGTCACTTTTGAGGATTTTGGTTGAAAGGAATAGATGTTTTCTGTTTTCAAGTTACGGTACTTCACCGCCGCCACTGGGAATGGTTGTTATGCGGCGCGAGCGTAAATTAATGATAAACTGTACCTCGTAATTCGTATAGATATTGCTCGTCTGATCGTAGTACGAGTACAATGGCGTGCTCAAGACTCTCAACCAGGCGGGTGTTGTAGTAAGTACTTATCCCATTTGCTTGACAGAATTCATGTTTCTTCGGTTTTAGTGTAGATGATAATGCTCGCAGATTTTGGTTAAAAATGTTTGGGTTTAATTTACTTAATTCGTTTTAATTTTGTTATCCAAGATACGAAAGTTTTCTTTCTTTTGCTGTAACTTGTAGCATTGCAATCAGTGTCCTTTATGGGTGAACTGCGAATGCTATATTAATTATTATGTCTTCACTTACTGTTTACGGTGTATAACAGAATGCAACGAGAACTGAATAGAGATCATAGATGCATTTTAGAAGGCCATGAGGTGATCTGACAAGTACAGCAATACGAAAATTTTTTGTGGAAATTAGTTTTATTGGGATAGGTATGAAACCGTGTTAGAACGGACAAAATTATAATGAATAAAAGTAAAAATGTCAATAATCCAGCCGTGCCTGCAGATCCTTTATCCTCCTCAACATCGGCACCAGCCGAAATCAGTTCCTACGACGCCTTCGACCGTTTCGCCATCTCACCCTTGCCATGCTCAAACAGCACGCCGCCGTTTGTCTTGCTCATCGTCTTCACGCGTCCCGACGCCTTTCTCCGCCGGGACACCATCCGACGCACATACGGCTCACTGGCCGTGGAAAGCGGCACACACCGGCACACCTGCTCACACGGCCGACCGGATGCGGGCCGCGGTGTGCCGCTGGGATTTCGGTTGTTGTTTATTGTCGGTCTGACTGTGTCCGGGGCTATTCAGAGGGGAATCGCTGACGAGGCCGCTCGCACCGGTGACATTATTCAGACAGAGGCGTTCGTCGACGACTACGGTCAAGCCACACGCAAAGGTAAATATTGTCCTAGCTGCCAGTGGATGTTTAGAATAATGTTCTTTCCGGCTGCTATCAGGGTTGTACCAGATTAAATACGGTCACTGTGTGTGCTCTGTGCTGGTAGTCAGCTCGGTCAAATTTTTTAGTTGGTTATATGCAGCAGTTTACAGACAACAGATTTGGTTCTGCATAGCGCTAAGCAAACAGAGAAAGAATTTCGAAATTTATAACGTGGCCATGCCCGTACCGCCGTACGATACGGTATGAGTTTTTTCTACCTAGTAACTCCCATGGAAAAAACTTTTTTTTAAATTTACGCAATTGTAAACTGTTGAATACAGATACAGTTTATGTGTATTAGAATGCCCGCTTGAATGCAATTATGCAGAGACTACTCGTAGCTAACACTCTCATTTCGCCAAGGATATGTGAACGGGAGTATTTCGTAGTACAATGGCATAAGTGATTGGACTTACATACATTTCGGAAAATGGAAATAATGCGTATGGCTTGGCACGCTTCAGATGTACTCGTACATAAAGTAAATAAAATATTCTGTTTTTTGAACTACATCATATTTTCTTCGCTATTTCTTATTCCTCTTGATCTATCACGGTACTCGCGATAGGTTTGGCCTTGATTCACTGGAGCCTTCTCCACTGCCCACAAGCCACCTTCGTGGCCAAAGCCGACGACGACTGCTTTATCAATCCACCCCTCCTCCTCAGTAGTTTGCGGCACGCCGAGGACAAAACACCCTCCATCCTCGGGCATTTCTGGCCGGCCGGGGCCCCGGTGATCCGTGACCCGAAGAACAAATGGGCTGTCCCGGTGGCCGACTTCCCGGAGAAGCACTTCCCGCCCTACATGTCCGGGATTCTCTACACATTCCACCGTCTGACTCTTGCCCCGCTGGCCCACGCAGCCAGGACGCTAAAGTATTTATGGCACGATGATGTCTTTCTCACCGGTCTGGCGGCCCGCGCCGCCCAGATCCCGCATATTGGCCTAGGCGGGTACGATCCCAAGGGCGGCGCCTGGAATAAGGGATGCAGTAAGGGAGCACATTTGGCGGTGCACTACGTGGATGACTCGAAGATGTGGAAAATGTGGAATGATACGTGTGTGAATTATGTTGTTCCTTGTTAAATAAGTATTCTGAGCGCGTGGAATTCTCTTGACTGTGAGATTAAGATGTCGGCTTTTACTTGGAATGTTTTGAGTGGTTTTAAATTTTACCTTGTTTTGATGGTGATCATTATAAATTTAATAGTTTTGCGGACTCGAGTTGATGTAATTGTAATGCTGATGCGTACGAATAGTCTCTACGGTGAAGAAAGAAATTTTAAAAGGTTCGATTCGATTATAAAATTGGTCAGCGGAGTTTCGATAAAATGACCGCTTAAATAATGCAGCAGTGGTTTTTAGTTGCACCGTACTATCAATATAAATATGCAGGATAAAGAAAGGCAAAAACGCCGTAGTACGAGCAAAAATTTTAAGAAAATGTACATTCATTATTTTTTAAAATGGTTGTAACGTAAAGCAAAGCTAGACGTTTATAGGGTACTTTTTAGTCAGAATAATTACAGTTAAATGGTGGGCATTGCTCTTGATTTGACATTCCTCTACGATTCAGTGTTAATTCAACTCTACTACAGTACGGCAACTTTCTGATAGAAAAATTAGTAAGACAAAGTTAACTTTTTACAAATATGTTATTATATGGACAAATTACAGTGCCCTTTATCAGTGTAAAAAGTAGTATGTTCCGAATTTTTCAGCAATTCGTTTCTGAGTATAGACAATACACAATGTAATTAATGGGTTACGAATGTCCTGCATAAATTCGCTATCAATAATTTCTACCGCACTCTTGATGGACGTTGCGTGCAATACAAAAACGACGGAAAATCATCGGAAACCGTTCAGTAAGTTATTTCTTACGTAAAGCCAAGTGTTAATCGTTTTAAATCGCTGTCTTTCGTAATTGTCGGCTTTTCTTATTCTGCGCCGGCTGGGCAATGCGCAAGGAAAACTGGAGCAACATACATTTCCAAACTTGGAATGCCCAATCGGAAGCTCAGGTGCACATATATACGGCAGCATGAATCATGGTGCGCGGCGCAATTAGCAACACGTATAAACCAACTGCATTATATGCATTGTAACGCATCCACGCGTATAGACAGACAATTCGATACAAAGAACGCCGCGGTAACTCATTAACAATTCAGCGCATGCTGAAGAATTTTTTATTAGTCACAAAACCAAGAACGCCGAACACGCCCGGCATATTGGAAGGGAAATTTGCTTTTCTAACGAACCCAACCAACCGGGCCGGTAAGGTTTCACTTTTATGTAATAATATTCTCTCTCTCTCATAAATACTTTGAACATTATGTCGCTCGTGCACTGCCGTGCAGCGCGATGGTGCCGGTTTAATAAGGAACATCACATATACTCGATAATATCGCCATATAAATCCGTATGACTACTCCGTAGCACATTCCAGCCTTCGGTACGTTTAACCGCTTGGAAATTACGCGCAATAAACTCCAGGACAATTTCTTTCAACTGAAGAGCTTTATGTTCGTGGGCGAGGATTAGTGTCTTAATGGCATTGTCCACATTCAGTTCACGCAGAATTAAGCTTTCGCAGATTGCCTACACCAACATAAAAAAATTTCAGCAAGAATTGGGATGCCGACTTCTGAAGAACGAGTGTAACTGTTATGTAAACAAGTGACTGAAGTATTTTTTATACACTTTACAGATACTGTATATTAGAGAAAATACTAGTTAACTCGTATTTTCTCGGATATAATGGTAAAACACTATTTGACTAGTATTTTCTCTGGTTATATCTACTTTATATTGTTTATAATAGTACAATACCAAAAACTAAATAGAAGTGCATTACTTGTCAACGTTCACCAAATAACGAAGTCGTAAAGGTATAGTGAACCACTACACTACGCCATCTCGCATTCACAAGGAGATACAGAAGTAGCCAAAGAAAAAAAACGCACACAGGAAATAAGACAGAATTTCTAACTTTTTCACAAAGTACGGCAGTGCTGGGAAAATTTACCTGCAACTGCGCCACCTGGTACTTCTGCCCGGCTTCCAGCACCTCCTCCACAATATTCTCCGTCTTATCGATATGCCCCGTGTAGATAAAATACAGCAGTTCCTTCATACCCCGTGACGTGACATCCGTAATAACAAAATGATTAGATGTCGCGTTGGCCGGATTGGAGAACATGGAATCGAATACCGGTGAGCGGGCCGCCAAAATGGCTTTATGCACATGGAATTCCCGCTTCCCCACATCCAGCGTCACATCTGAATAGCGTCCTTTACTCAGCAGCTGGACCATATCATCCAGCAGGGAATCGCGCGGAATGTCAATGCCCCGAATGACCCCGGGGTCATGGCGGGGGGCCGGCGGTGGTGCCACCACCACCCCGGTGTGGTCGTTCAGCGGTGTGGATGAACGGGGTGATGCCGTGGCCACCCCGCTATCATACACACTATTCGAGTGGATATCCGATTGGAGGATCGGGCGTTCATCGTGACGTTTCTGGGTGGAGGAGCGGAAGAAGTTCTTCGGACTGCCGAACGAGGCGGTCCGCTTAATGAAGGTCTCCCGGGGCGGCGGGAGTGGCGGCGGCGGTGTCGACGACTCGAAGGCGTTGGTGATCTTCACATCACACAGAATCGTCGCGGAATCATGATGCAGGAAGTGGTTCTCCTTCTCGAACAGCTCCGGATGCGCCATGAATTTTATTAAGCCGAACCGGCGTTCCTTCTCGAAATCGACGTCCGACGCCTCGAAGTACACATCCTTGATGTCGGGGCCGAATTTCCGGATGCCGAACTGGACGGTCACCGCTACAATGTGGGATTCCGGGAAGCAGTCTTTTAGCACGAGGAAGACGGAGGTGTAGCCCTGATTGTACACGTCCGGTGCGCCGTGCGGGTATAATTCCAGAATCCATTTACATTTCTGGGGATCTTTGGAGGCAAACGGCTGGGAGCGCAGGACTTCCTCCTTCATGGCGGCCCGCTTAAAATTCCCAATCCGCCATTCGTAGTTGAACTGGACGATGCGACGGGGTGGCGCGGCAATGGGCACCAGATGGTCCATATCACCGGTTTCCGCCGTACGAATCGACATACCGAATAAAAATTAACTCAAAAATATTACTTAACAATTATACCGATTATTAGAATTAAATTAAATGCAGTGGATGAGGTGTGTAAGGAATGCGTAACATGGTTCCCAAGATAATTAAGCCTGGGAAAGTCAGTGGGCAGATGTCATTGTGGTGTCATACGGAAGCCATCAGTCGTCGCGATCAACGGTTATCGTATACGTGAAAAATGACAAACAGCGCGCGCTGGCCGTATTAACACAAAACGCTCTCGTCTGGGCTGTGAAACTTTTCCTCTTACCGTTGATTACATGCCTTCCGGGCAAAAAGGCAACAAACTGCTGTTGTTGGGTGATGCGGACAACAGAATGCTTCACTCTGCTAAACGGCTATTGGAGGACTGGCTGGGGTTAATTTATGCAGATATGATGGATTGGTGTAATTTAAGTGAAAATGACACGCTGTCTGTACAAATAATATTTCGCGGTATGTACGCGCGGTGCGGCAGTGTTGCCGAAAAGAATAGCACAGCCGGTTAAAGTTACAAAGTGCCACCGATAACAATAGCCTCAATAGGACATCGTTAAACAATATCTGTGATTTCAACAAACAAATTTTCTTTAAAGGGAATTAGTTCAAATAAACCTGCAGCGACTAACGAAAAGTCGCGAAATAGTTGTACTTTTTTTACGCTGTAAGTTCTTTACGTTATTACTTTCGCAAATTCAAAAAATTAAAATAAAATCCGGTGCAGAATTTCATATAACGGAAACTGCGATTTATTATACGAAATGTAATTAAAATTTATTTACATTTCACATGTTGACATAATGTTAATTTACCTAATCTACATGATGTTAATGTTGTTAATCTACACGTAGATATATAATTTATTAATTTGTGCAATTGGCTGTTATATGCACTTGCAAGTTCTATCAGTATCTGCCAGACAGTAGCACTTGAAATCAAAGCCGACAAACATGTTGTACACAGTAGTGCATTTACGCATGGGCTTTATCGCATTATGCATATTTATTGCATATGACCGTAATGTTTTATAACTAGGCCAAAAGATCGGAAGTTTGCATTGTTTCCTGGCCTTACACGCTTGTTTATCCTGCATAAAAGCCTAATGAATTCCAAATTCGCCAGTTTGAAAATTTGAATGAAAACCTTCCGAATTCAGCGGATAAATTCAATTTATGACATCTACACTGCCGTTGCCGGATAACGTTACGGCAGACTAATGATTATGGTTTCCGGTGAAAATATTGACCAAGTATGGTTTGTTGTGTAAATATCAGTGTTTTTCGACGATCGTTGCTGCCGCCACGGTGACTTCGCTCCATTAAAAAACAAAGCAACCCTAAAAACGCATCTAACTTGGCAAAACCGCTTGGTGCAGCGGTCGTCCAGTTGTGCGGCTCCGAATCTTTACTGCCCGGCTCTGACCACCGGTGGCGGACGGTGGCTATCCGGGCGCATAAAATTTGGAATGTAAAGCGTCAAAAAACTAGCACCAGCCCTTATCGGGCATAAAAAATCAAAGAAAGCAAACATGCGAAGAAAAGCGCTTCGAAGCAATGCGCGGATTTTTATTTCGAAGGATTAAATCTGGAAGTAGCTTCTACCTACAATCGTCCATTTTGGCTTTTGTGCAGAAAACACTGTGGAAGAGGCCACAAATTACTGCATGCGACGAACTTATCATTCGCGTAAAAGTAACATACCATATTATGTACTAAAATGTACTTCTTTGTTCTTACTGCAGAGGCATATTTATATATCATACTTTTTATATATTTTGGCCTTTTGCACAGTGTATTTTTGCATAGGCTTGCTTTAAATTACACCGATAATAATAATACGAACAAGTACACCTCTGTATACACGTACTTGTCTGCGGGGTGTATTGACAAGCTGGCTCCCAATGTTATGAATCAAAAGCCTCATTACCAATAATAAACATAAAAAGTAATAATTTATAAATTATTCATCACGAACCATGGAAGCATCACGCGCAAGAAACTGGGATGGGAACTGGGATGTCGTGTAATCGTATTGATTGATTCGTATTGGTACTTGTTACCGGCGTTCCCATTTCATAATAGAAAATAATCGACTTGGAATTATCGAACAATCGCATTGTTAACGGGTAGGCAGCGGGATTTCACCTTTACACGACCTACGCAGATTGCTCGGTTTCATCTTTGGTTTATTGATGCCGAACAAAGCTTCATCCCATCAAAAATAAATTATGGAATAAATTATCCAACTAACTCCTCACAATGAACAATAAAAACACACCGACTAACAACACCGATCCATCATACTTTCTTTAGAAAATATGGCAAGAAAACATAAAAAGCAATCTTGTGATATACCGGTAAACCGGTAAACGACTGCCAATCATATCGTGTAAATCTTTTGTCACTATATAACGAACCAAAAAACCACTCTGAAATGCGTTCGCTGAGACAATAATTATATCTTGGAACTAACAGAGCAAACTTTATTTTAAATACCACATTTTATTCACCTAATCTTTATAAATATCTTCCATCTTGTCAAAAAATACTGCCACGTTTCCAGAATGGACGGATGGGATTAGTACAGTAAATCATTCACCGCTTTTCGACATCACATAGGCTCATCCACAATAACGTCTTCTTGCCTGCAAAAATATACATGATTATACATGGAAAAAAATATTATCCCAACATTTAAGTAAGTATTTGCAATTCGGAAAACACAGCACTGAATCTACGTTCGCAACATTTTGTTAAGGCATGCCATTTTGTTAACTTCCATCCTATGCCATCGTTCTACGATTTTCTGCATTCCATCTCGCAAAACAAATAAATCGAATAACGTAATGAACCTATTCATCCTAGCAGTACTCATTATGCACATAACTAATAGTAGCTGTAAAATGGTAAAAAATTCCATTATGCAGTAAAAAATAACCAATTAAAAGGTTCGCTTGAACGTTTCGGGAAGTGCGAAGCCGGTAAAAGCTCGGACAACAAATAAGGAAATACACGGTCACAGAATTCTAAATCTTAAACATTAAATAAATTAACGCCAAACATTAAACATTAAATAACGTGTTAATAGCTTCTGGTTGGCAAAGAAATTTCTCATCTCTCCACTTTACTTACTTTAGCCACGCCGTCATTCGCGTGCGACTGACATTGTGCCGCTTACAGAACAGCCGCAACGAGCACTGCAGACCCCGGTCGAGCTTCTCCGCCCGGTACAGCTCCAGGAATTTCTCCCGGTCGGCCTCCGTGTACACCCGTCGTCCCTTCCCGGTGTCCTCTTCCCCACCCATCTTCATGCCGGGCGCCAATCCCAACCCGGCCATCTCCAGCGGCGACTGGCGGGTGTCGCCGCGCTCCAGATAATCATGCAGAATATGTCCGATCATCCGCTCCGGGGGATTGTGGACCGGTCGCGGCGAGCTCGACAGCGTCACCTCACTGTCCGGGGACCGGACCACCGTCACGGGCGGCGGCGGTTTATTGTCACAGCGCCGCCGGAAACGCTCTACCCACGTGTTGGACGCCACGAAATCGATGATGCCGAGGCGGGTGGCCAGATCGCGGGCGAACGTCTGGATGGCTTTGATGGTCGGCTCATCGTGGCCGGCGGCCCGCTGCTCTTCGATCCATTCGGATACGCGGGATTCCAGCACCGGGAAACGGGCGCTCGGCATGCGCACGCGGCTGACCATCAGCTGGGAGGCGTCCAGGGATTTCAGTTTATCGTACTCTCTGTGACAGATAATTAACGATGTCATTTCTTGCCGCACAGGGATACGAAAGCTTTGCTTAATTTTAACCCAAGATAAAAGATGAAATACAGAGCTCAAGCCAATACGATATACATAACGACAATATCAAATGAAGTAAGAAACTTCTTAATTGTTTGTTATTAACAGTTTAATATTGTTCCCTCTTTGAAACCTTAACTCTTTCATTTCATCTTTTCTGTCGGCTCATCATTTAGTCTAGGAACGCTGCTACAGAATACTTTTCTTCAAAAGAATAAATAATAAAATACAAATCTAGTATCTACGATCAACACCATCATGTAATACTAAACAGCAACAACGCGAGTAAAAAACTCAATTTATTAGAACAAGGAATAAGATTAATTATTTATGAATTATTAGATAGCGCTTATGCTTATCTGAAAGTTGTAACCTGTGGTAATAATTTCATTAGCACCTTATCGTCTGCAAGATACTGCTTCAATTTATAAATTATCGATCGGGAGTTTCGCAAAAGGAAAGCGGTACACGAACGTGCACGCGGTTCATCTTTTACGCAACTCCTTCTCATGGTCGATTATCGATGCTTGAGCACAATGAAATGGGTTTTCTTCTGTAAGGATGAGTCCGATAATTCTGGATTTGTCATGTTTCCTACAGTATGGCGTAGCATACTTCTACCGATTTTACACTACACTTCGGCTGCAAGACTAATCCGCATTCCGTAAGTATGAGTACGTGTTTTCAGGGTCATTTGGAAGCGCAAAATGTCTGCAGTACAATAATCTGTAACTAGCTGAGTATTAATAAGAAAAAACTTCACCAAGTCACAATTTATGCCGGTCTAAAAATACATCTAACGTCACTGCCTGGTTATTTAAGCGACGTCACGTTGTACTGGTTTCTGCAAAAGCTATGTAGGAATTATACCGATACCATGCGACGGCAAATCTACGACACTGCTTGAAGTCTGTTTCAAAATTAATATCACTTCAAGTTCAACACTGGCAACTGTATCGACACGCAGAGAATACGTAGCTATTCAAGATCACCATCGTCGTTACGCAATTCGACAAAATGAACTCGTATTTCAATTTGAAAATTTCTATTAAATTTGCTCGACAACACTACTGTCAAATGTCAACCACCGGCTCGACGGACACGAAAATACTGAATTTGTCATATAAGCCGTATACGGCCAACGCTAATTGTTTCCTCTGAGAACGGCTTCGACATTTCCGCACATACAGAACACCCACTAACGAGAAATATAATCATCTGCTACCCTAAAAATAAAAAGAAATTAATTCCGATGGGGTTACTAAGAATCCGGTTTGATCAATTTGTCAGTTAATTACAGCTACTTTGGATACAGATTGGGATAACTGTAAAAAAACAGATATCCCAACAGAATTTCTTGTGCATTAAATATTTCGCTATGTAAGACACTTTGTCCCATACAGCACAAAAATCGAACTGGCGGAAATCCAAGAACCATCCCTTTATCCGGCTTTCCCCAAAATTAAATCTTTTAATAAAAGATGAAGCGCGGTGCCAACCTACGTCAGACTGCGTACCAATTAGCCTAAAACCGTGTTTGGTAATCGACCCGGCATGTAAACTCGTTAGCGGCTAAATGAGAAAATCATTATCGGTTGGTTAACAGGAACATCCGTCCAACTCGCAGAGCCAGCGAAGCCACCGGAATTTTCCCTAAACATCATGTAGTGTTTATAAAACTGACTGCACGAAAACACCAACCCTCCCATCCCCGAGTGACCTTATCGCGGGAGAGCGCGATCGCTCAGTGCGATCGATATCTGTAAAGTTAATAATCAGCGGCAACGGCAGCTAGCTATTTCGCATCATCAGCATCATGATCATCCGGTGCGCGTGTAGGAATACCAAAATTACAATGCCTGTTATCTTCTTCATCCCCGATCTCTCTCCTCCGATGAGATTTCAAGGAAAATGTTGCGCGCTCTCTCCATCCCGTCTGTTTACCGGCGGAGTACAGCGGGGACTTAATTGATGCTAAAATCGGTAATCCCTAGCGGTAATTTGTTCGATCCTCGAGCGACGTCAACACCGGCGCGCGCGCGTATAATATGTATTCTATTCTGTCCCCACACTACCCACGCGGGCCACGCCGTCAGCGCATGCCGTCGCGGTACGCTCGACCTGATTCAACGAGCAGTGTTGTTGAATGCTAGCATTGAATCGGCGTAAATGTCGAATTTTCCAGCTGGATTCGCCAACATATGGCTCCCGGCTAACATACACCAACCTTAACAACACGTATACCGCGATATACGTATGCACTGCGGTGCGGTAGTAGCACAGTTGCTGGCTTCAAATTAAGCCGCAGTCAGCCGAAAGAGAAATGGAGTGTTTTCGGTGCAATGCGGCTGCTGTGACATTACTTTCTCATGCGGCACTGATTCCAGTTAAAAGACGTCGTTTTGCAATCAGCAATAAATGGATATATCCTTATATTTTTATACGCGATATATCTGCAGTTAAGCACGGAAGAGTCTTGGGTTTGCGATGATATTACCGCCGGCTCACACAATTCCTCAGAAGTCCTGTCATAGCAATTATTAACATTCCTAATAACATAATATCACTAAATACTGCATTATTACAATTTTTGAAAACCAAAAGAATACAGTTCATTAGTACGGTCAAGGAACAATACTCTAGTCATGGAGCGGATGTTGATCATTAATCCTCTCTAATAATAAAAACATCTTGCGATGTCTCAATTAAGGAAAACTTCCATTAAGTACAAGCGTATAGTTTTGACATAACACTATGTAAGCCAAAAACGAAACCTGCTTTCAATGACCGTCATGGGATGTGCCGCTGACTAAACGGAATCGTTTCTTAACGCAAAAATAATTCACTCAGTAAACGAAACTGGCTGGGGGCTGTGTTTTATGGAATTTGGAACAAACGCGTTCTACTAGGCATGGAACACCATTCCGCGCCCAGCACGAACGAAACCAAAATCAACCGAGACATTTCGATGTCTCGAAAGCATTTTACTGTGACCCGACCAGCGTCTTGTTTTTGTAAGCGCTTCTGCTGGTCAATATAGTGAATTTTCAAAAGGTCAAGGATAATAAAGAGACCATGCAGGTACACACTGTGTCGTAGTGTGTCCCTATTGGAAACATCATTAATGAATCAAATTTCGTTTATAACGAAGGATACACAATGGGGATTCCCGGAAAAGCATGAACCACATTGGTTTATGCATCCTCAGCAATACAAAAAGGTGATTCAAGTCTTCAAGGTGCCTTTAGCCTTAATCAAATAATCCATAACACCCCGGCATCTTATTAGAGGAAAAAATATTAATAGCTTAATCCGCAATGACATTCCACATTTTTGAGAAGACCATAAATATGCACTACGTCAATAGATAAGCGAAATTTTCTTGTAAATTTCTTGTATTTCTTACTGAGCTATATTTATTTTGTTTATATCTCGAGATTGTATAAACCAGTTAAAACGATTAAGCAGAAGCGTAACAAGAACCGTGCACGCGAATATGATTCTGAATGGTGAATAATACTGATTTGATACGATACAACAAAAACGGGAAATGTTGTCGGCTTCGTTGATTTCGCCTACTTAATTTGCAATCGTCATTAGCATGCAAATGATTTCCTATAAGTACAAGTAGAATCTGACATACTTGCACCAGGCTGAAAAGCGCGCATGGCTGAGTTGGTATTTCCTGGCGAATTGGCGCTGCGAGAAGGAGCGGCCCTTCTCCTCATGCTCCCGACGGAACATATCGACATACTGGATCTTCTGGCAGGGCGAGTAGGCCTTGGTAACACGCTTCTTCGGTGGCGCTTCCGGTTTGGCAGCTGCTGCTGCTACGGATGCCGGTGGTGTGCACGGAAGGATTAACTGCGGCTGCTGCTGTTGCAGCGGCGGCGGTGGAGGGGGCTGTGGCTGTGCCGCTGGTTGTTGATGCTGCTGCTGCGGCTGTATCGAAGATAACGACGGCGGCGGCTGGAAAATCCCTTCCACTTCACCATTGCGAATGGCTCGCGGTGCTCGACTCCGGTCCTCGAAAACCTCGTCTAAATAAAAACGGGCAGGTTTCTCACAGTAATCGACCAGCGAAACCCAGGAAAAAAATCGGCGTATTGTATCTGCCGCTACAAAAAGCTAATCAATTGATCGATAACATGCACTCCAAATGGATTAATGATGACGATTTTGTGTCACCATTATCAGTGTAACAAACTCAATACTAGTAACCTTTCTACATGTTTATTAGTTGAACACACTTACGTAACACGTCATGCTACAGACACGTGCACGATGCCAATTTGCTACCAATTTGATTCTATTTTTATTTTTCATCTGATACCTGCACTCGCGTTTTTAAGACTGCCTTTATAAATAAGTACTCAACAGAGCACCTCAGATAATGCCAATTTAGGCAAACCGCATATATCGTGTTAAATGTTAGAAATTTAGATAAGTACTGGCAAGTCACTCCATGCAACTAATGACAGAAACGTTTTTATGATGTGCTTTTAATAAATAGTGCCTACTGTCGTATTTTGGACCAGCATCGTGATAAGATAAAATTTTACTTATTCACACAACTGTTTAATTTATGATGCGGTACTTTTTGCCTTTATGAGAACGACAAAAATAATCTTCAAAAAATTGATCAATCATGGTAGAAAGTAACATGCATCTAACCGGTAAAAATAATTATTTTCTCTTTTATACGCCAATAAAAATTCTGCGATTAAAGCATGCAAATTATTCTAGCTACTTGTTATAATGCTTTCTCTAGCCAACTGTTAGTATAAACAAATATTAGCCTAATAATTGTACAATTTATGCTGACCCAGGAATTCGTCAATATCCAGCGATTTCGGTACGTTCCCGGAGAAATTCACCGTGGGATGGTGAAAGCTCATCACCTGCTGATGGAGATCCTCCAACGTGGAATTGGCAACTGGATAGCACGAAGAATCTGATAGAGAAAACTGTTTACGCCAACGCGCAGCACGCCTTGTTTTTCTAGTCGGTAGACAGAAAACATTACGGCACATTCTTCCTTACCTGGGAACGCTGTGATATGCGTCTTCACCAAGTCATCCAGCGGCCCGAAATGGTACGGTGCGGAAATGATCGCCCGCTCCGCGGCAAAAATATTATCCATGTGAAAATCCCGTCGATGAGGCATGGCCGATACCGTGGTGTCGTTGGTACGAAAACTCCAGAAATCGTTGCAGTTTAGGGTATTTGAATGATGCTGACTGGAGTGGTCCATAGTTTTTCCACGACCGACTGCTGTTTATTATAGAGACCAAAATTTGTTTGCCTCGTCTCGCTTATTAACAGCTGCTGTCTCGCACTGACAAGAAAGCCAGTCAAAGCCAAAACGCAAGACTGCGTGCGACTGAGAGCTGTGTTTCGCTTCAACCTGCTTGCCTGATACACGGGTTGACATTGACCGTATCACTGTACTGTACGCGTACTGTACTGTACGCGTACGTACACGACTACACGTATACGAGTACAGGTTCTTTATTAAAACCGTGCGGTAGTCTGCCGACTTTATCGATTTTAACAGGCACCGCGACACGAACATCCTTCTTCGGGGTGAAGATAAGTTACATCCCCAAAAAGCTATGCGGTGATAATAAATAGATGTATTTACATTCGATGATGACCCTGAGCTAAAACAAAAATTAAAATTACACCGGAAACGAAAAAATTGCGAATTCTTGCGTTTTTGCCTTGTACCGCAATATGGAACGGCATAACCACACACGTGTGGTTTTATTTCCGGCGAACGAAATCATAAATCGTGCTTTCATCCATTTTTTCCAGGTGGTGCAGCCAACTCCACCACCTACCGCTTCTACTGCAGCAGGAATGCGAGCTTGGCGCATGCCGGTGGTAGTGGTACCGCTTGTACGATGCACCATGTGTCATTTCATATTAATATTCTGTATGCCGAAACGCATGTTTGTTTCTGCCGATGTCGACAAAATTAGAGTAGGTTGTTGGCAAAGCTCATCGGTTTCCAACTCAAGTACTATTGTAGACGTGTCTCGCAAAGCGCCATCTGTATACAGTTCTCGTATAAATCAACGAAAGTTTCGTGCATGCACGCGATCTTCCTTTTTGGAGCCCCACCGGAAGTACAATACTTTATACAGAACTGCAAGATTGCAAGTCTGCACCATGTTGAACTACGCGCATTTGTTGTGCACTTGTGTTTTTGTACAGTCTAGTGTACAACTACAATCACACTAAAGAAAGTACAGTGCTTCTTAAAAAGATCTATTTTATTTATATAGATATGAAATATTTTGATTACAATAACTTACTTGTTATTTGTTAACATAAACGTAAATTACTACATAATTATTAAAAACACAAATTAAACCGAAAAATAAATAAATTGTACCTATTTTCGTGCATCACCAAGCACAAAATTAATCAGAAGTTAGCCTCCCGGCTTCCGTTGTCGGCACTTTTGTACACCGTTTCAAGGTTCTAATAGCAAGTCTAACGTACATAACTATACAAGTACATTGCTGTACAAGTCTGAAAAGTCTTATCGGGCTGTTTGATTTTGCTAGAACCGCTCTCCAATTACTCGCTATATAGAGCTGAGTTTACAAATGTATGGCTTCTGTTCAAGCGTTCTTAACAAGCTGAACGTAAAATGCGGCTCGGTTAATCAACAGCGCAAATTTACAGTTCTACACCAATCCCATGTCCCTGTCCAGGTTAAGAAAAAGCTATTACGTAGTACGTACCATCTTAAAACTGTAACCGAGGTACCATCATTATCCAGTCCATTTAATTATGCAATATGCACCTAACATTAGTATGCATTACATTTATTATGCATTGAACTATGCATTTAACTACTGTATGCATTTAAGGTTGGTAACTAACGAAATTCTTCGTTCAAACTGCCCGTGGATCACAAGAAACGCGGAGGCGAAGACGTAGCTGTTTCTTGTACTACGATAATACGAGTATTAACACGTTACTTCCTCATTATAAAAAAAAATTTACTTTCAAAAAAACCACAGTGCGCTAAAACACAAAATAAGTCAGGTACACTACAGGTCTACGATGAGTGTAATCTACTGTAGAAGTATAACAAACGAGTTCATGCGACTGTATGATCTGCAGCGTCAGATCCAGAATGTGTAAGTATTAGGCATATGCCTTTACTGAAATTTTATGTTGACCAGAAATTCTTGGTATAAGATCAGGACCATATACACTATCCGTATAAATTTCTACTTCTGGTCTTTACAGTTTTCAACATTTTAACACGCTTAGCAATAATTCTTCAATACACAGCAAGAAACTGAAAGCTGATAATACTCGTACAGTAATTAGCTCGCACCGCACTTTATAAGTCCTCGGTAATTCACAAAAATACAAACTTATATCTATATTATATCTATAAAAGTACGATAAAAATCCTGAAGGAAAACAAGAAAATTTCTACAAAAGAACCAAATAATCACGTCGTACAAAACAAAATGAATCATATTATATGAAAGCACCGCGGACTGACATCACCAATCCACCACAGTACGCCAACGAACGTCTTCCATCACAAAACATTTTTGAGCACCAACTTAATCACACGGCAGAGATTCAGGATACAAAGCGCGTAAAGCCTCGATGGCCGCATTGCACTTGGCAGCGCGACTGTTGTTCCCCTGTCCACGAAAGACTCCCTTATCGGTGATTTCCACCGTCGCAACCATTTTGCCCTTATCGGTGCCCTCCAATCTGTATTACGAGAGTCGGAAGTTATTACCGAAATTGATGTAATAAAAGAAAGCAACACTGCTTACGAAAAATGAACATTATTGGGGTCGTATTCCAGCAACACTCGGACCGAATTCTTTGGACAATGCTTCAAACAGAAATCTACAAAAATAAAAAGTCGAAGGCGATATTATTCTTAACGAATTTGTTTTTTTCGTGTCAAAATTAAAACTGTGAAAAGCTACAACGTTATGTTACCGATTCGCTTGCGCATGAGGTTATAATAAACTTTCCAAACCGCATCCAAGGAAAGTCCGCTATCCAAAAATATTGCTCCCGCCACAGATTCAAAGATATCCCCCAAAACTTTTGGCGTTTCAGCAGCTTCATAGATATCGGTGTGAACTTCCTCTTCATCGTCTTCAAAGTCAGCATACTGCAAAATGCAACTGCTGTAAATACGATACGTTCAAAACAGCGGTAAAAAACGTTAGATAGCTAATAACTACAGGCAAGCACAGCCGAAATTAAATTCCGAATACAGCAGACAATTGTTCCAGTCTATTTAAATGGATACGTATATTAAGCTTAATGAATCACAGAAACAATAAGTCCACAAGTCTAGACGAACATCCGCATACCACATCACTAGCTTGCAGAACTTCCACATCGGGATCCTCCTTCTTCACTTCTTCGGCAAAACGAGAAATCAACTGAAACATTTTCGGAGCTTGATATCGGACGTACTGGTGATATCCGTACTTCACCGCCAGCTTCGCAAATGTCTTGTTGTTAACCAAAGCCATGCGCACATCTGTCAATTTTCCCGGACTCAAGGTTTGATCTGCTTCGTGTATGTGCCGAGTTACAAGGTAGTCCAGAATTGAATCACCCAAGAATTCTAGACGCTGGTAACAATCGGTCAACTGATTTCGGAAGTCTGAATTATGCGAAAAAGCTTGTAGCAGGTAAGATTTATCCTGAAATCTGAAAGAAATGCCATTGCAGAATATAACTTTCAAGCGAGTAATATGAATCGAAATGTGTCGCTGAATACTGACTTTCATAATCATATTACACTTCTTTGGTATCGATTTTCAACGTGTGTAGTGTGTGCCCATGTATTAAATTAAATTTATTGCAACTTACATATATCCAATCCGTTTCTCGAAGTCTGCAAATGGAGCCACAAGTGTAGAAAGCTCCTGGAAGAGCGGATCGTCTTCAGTCCTTCGCAAAGAGCTAAATGTTTTATTAATCTGCCCACTACCAATCGTTCCCCGGGAATGGATTGCTTTTAGTCCCATCCATTCCATAAAGCGCTGCGCGTAATAAGCATTCACCTCCAGAAGCATCATACCGATGAGAGCTTCCACGACATCAGCCAAACTTTTATCGCGCAAAGATTGAGTGCACCGTTCAGGCTCTTGTGAAGAATCCAAAGGAATAAACCCTGGCGGTAAATAGTAACGTCGCACATCACCCATAACGTTGAAGTTCACAATATACTTCTCCAGATTTTTCAGTTTTCCAAGCCGGTACAAGTTGTAGTTGGACACTTGAATACCTTTAATCTCCGTCAACCGGCCTTCGTGATATTTTGGATATTCCATAAACAAATACAAACAGGTGGTCATCTTCAGGAATGCATCCCCGATCGTCTCCATGCGCTCCATATTGAAACAATCGCCGGCACATGCGGTCGTAACTGATTTGACAAATGATGTTACTTCCGGCAACGAAGTCTTTGCAGTGCTAGAAAATTCATGGTCAAACGTTTGCGGTGGTGCGACCAAGTTGTTCAAAGATCCATTTGCCGTAGCAATTTGGTTCGGCGTGGCAAATGGAGTAAAAGAGGACACCGGTAGCGCTGATGATGGACAACGCTTAGCCGGCTGATTTTTTTTCCGTTCCCGGCTTTTATAATACATCATCTGCCTGAATTTCTCGTAAAATATACCGTGTTCTTCAGCAGGCGAGCTTTCTGAGTCTCTCGATCCGGTTAATGATGGAAGAGAATCTGATGATGTGGGGGGTGGTGGTGGCCGCATATATACATCGTGATATTTTGGATGATAGACAAGTGGTTTCCAACGTTCCGGAGGATAAACGACGCCCCACAAGGCCGTTCCGATCTTTTGGTAGAGATCGTAAACATTATGCATGGTGCGCAAGCGATACAAAACGTAAGGAAGAATCCGAAAAGATTGATACCACTGAACGCAAAATGGCAAAACATGGCAAAACTCCATTGGTAGATGAATATCCTTCTTCGGGGCGGTTTTCACATCCGAACGTTTAGGTGTAAAGTTCAGTCTAAAAAATCGCAGTTAAAAATCTTAAAATAATATTAAATCCAATATAACGCCAATGCTATCTAGTAAATTTAGCAAGCTCAGTAGTTACTCTTTTGAGATGTGACGAACATGGAGCAAGGGGGAGTGTGGATGTTGGACAGAGTATCCGTATTTTCCCATCATATGCTGCACTACGTTGTTTTTCTCCTTTACAATGTAGTTCGTCGGCGTGTATCCTGCTGGAATATCCATCACAAAATAACGCCCTGATGGCTCTTCCGGTTTATATGATGTGACGACCACGGCATGCCGATATGAATTAGCATCCATGGCCATCCGCGCCCGATCAGCTGCTGCCATGGACTGATTTATCACAAAAGCACCAGGACGGATCAGCCGGTCTACGAGACTCCAATTCACGGAGCAAACCCCGTTGCAGGATAATGGAACTATAACTATCGAATCCGCTAACAACTCTGGAGCATACTTCCACTGGTCTTTACCGAAACCGAGAATATCCTCAAATATACAGCGATGGCATTCTTGTAAACGCTGCAGTGCAGCAGGCGTTATTTCACCATCCACCCATCGGATAAATCGCACATCCACCTCGTACTGGTTCAGTCCATGACAAAGCGGGAAATTCGGCATTGGCATCAGCTGTCGACCACTGAGAAATCCCACAGGGAAATCCATATTGAGGTTCACAATCGTGTCCATATTTGCTGCAATTCTTCCGGCTTTTTTCCAAACAATCTGATGTAAAAACATCCGTCCAACGGCAGGAGTGGATCCGTTCAGAGTGGACGGCATCTGCAAACATGCGAACATCAGGATGAACACGCAGGCATGCAAGAAACATCCGAATTTCATGCATACGGTTCTCGGGTAAAATTGCGAACGACGACGGGTACCGGGTTGTGCCGACCCGGCTGGTACTGGTTCCTTCTCACGATACCCTACGAATTGGGCCACGGCATCTTTCCATTCAACTCCGTCGTCTTTTGGCAGTAAATGTTCGGTGCTCAGTTCACCGCGTTCGTGAAGCATTTGACAACAAACAAGTGCCGCAGCCTTCTTCGCCAGAACGGGGGATTCCATTTCTGGTCCCTGTAACGTAGAAAACTGTTCTTTCAATCGCCCAAATAAATTACGTGCCCGTAAAAATGTCGTACTACCACACGAAAAAACTTCCCCAAATATACAACATCCGCAAATGCAAAGTAATCAGTTAATCATGCAAGATCATTGCAGAATCACCAACAGAACCTATTTTCAGTCTTACCTCAACTGCCTTTTCTATTGCCGCATTTTTAGGCAAATACAATTTACAGATGAACCGCCCGCTGGGAGATTAATGATATCTGGCACCACCAAACAGGTTGTCATCTTGTCATTCGGCAATGAATTGCAATATCTGAAAAAAAAGAAAGAGGTGTACATTTCCACTTAAAAGGCCCATTACAGTCTTCGGGTTCACATCACTCCAACAGTCAACAAGCGCCACCAACCTTTGCAAACAATTCAATGCACTACCCAAAGTTACACAAGCACTGCTCCCTTGAGGCCGATACGGAGGATACTTCTCATCGGAAAAATGATCAATGCGATCCTGCTCAGTGGGACTGCTTCGATCCACGCAGTGATCTTTCAACACTACATCCACCAGCTGGAATTCATGTAGTCTGCCATTTCGAAAGCGTTCCACCTCGTCGCAACAGATCATCATCAAAAATTTGGAATTTTTTGCCCTTGCTCTTCCCTTTGACTGCACGTACGACCGGTAAGTCGTGGGTTCATTGAATCTAGTAAAACACCAAATTAATACTTGTAAAAAGGACAACCTATCTAGTTAAATCAACTGATACAACGGCAAAACGATACGACGAGGGACGATTGCACAAGAAGACGCTAACGAAAGTACAGAAACAAAACCTCCATGGATAGTCGAGCTAAGCATATGACGAAATTAAAAATAAACTGTCAGGCATTAGCTGAGCATTGGTCATTAAATACGTAAAATTTCAAACATGCTTAATATTTAGAGGAAACCACCTTATAATTAGATTGCATTCGCGGACATCAAAACCTTCCTCCACAATATCCGTGGCGATTAAAACATTTAAATCTCCGCTGCGGAATTTTGATAAAGTCGCTTTCAACTGTGTGGCAGACAAGCCGATCTTATTTCCAATGGTTTCTACAAGCCACGACAACGTAAAATTGGAAACCAGGAAAAATGCCATAAATCAGCTGTATAGAAAAACCGACGCGAAATGGAAAACTTGCCTTCCGAACCACTTTCATCCAGCTGTCCCACACAAAATCCGGTATTGATCCATTCGTAGTTCTTCTCCTTAGTAGTACGTAGGAGCCGCAAAAACTGATGTAAGGCCCACGCGCTATACCGCTCTTGCACGAACACGATGCAACACAGTTCGTTGCTATTTTCTACAAATAAAACACCGTGTGGAACTAAGGTTACATACTCTGTACTAACTACGAACATTCAACTGTTGAGCTAAGTAATACCGGTAACTGATGTAAGACGGTTTCACGCCCAGCACGAACACGTTTGCCAGTGCTTGCTATTTTCTAGTGTGGAACTAAGGTTACATACTCTGTACTAACTACGAACATACCCCCGGCAGCTGTGGAAGCTAAGGAATACGGTTGAAACAATTCCAACAACTTCATCACTTTCGGTGTCACAAGCCCAAGCAGGAATAGCTCACTGCAGTTTGCCTGTGCTTGCTGAATAGAGTATGCCGCCTCGAACGAATTGCCGATTTGCCGAAGTCGACAGATACAGTCGCGGACCAGCGCGGAGAGCTCTAGTCGAAACAAACCTCGGCCCAGCATCATCTTCAGATCCTTTAGCAATTGCTGACATGTCTAAAAAAACAAGCTGTTCACGCACCTCTATCAACAAAACTAAATAAGAACATATTAATTAAATTATTTAGCACGTATCATGTTGAAATTTTGTGTAAAATTAATTTTATGACTTCACTTATAACAATTCAACACTTACTATATAGGCGCAGTAAATCCCCATAGTGGTCAAAGTATTTTGCACTTGAAAAACCGCATTTTTAATCTCCTTTATCGAATCCTTAACCCATTTTTCGCTGTCGAGTGGTGAAGCGTTCAGATTTGCCGGGCGCGACGAAAAATTCCTTTTCCTTGCACTATCCAGCCAGTTTACGGTTTCCTCAACGCGTTTCAGGATTTCGTGGTCCGTACCGTTGGGTTGGACGACCTGAAATAAACACACAACTACAACAGTTGTAAGGTACGAAACCAATTGACAAAAGTTGCAACGGTATTATTTCACAGAACCGAAACTACAATTTATTCTTGACACACTGAGTATGCAGGGACTCCCGAGGCCGTATCAGGCGATACAAAACGTAAAAAATAAAGAATCAGTTTGTACTAACAACAAGGGAACCACTTCAGATTACCGCACCTCAAATGTCACAATGTCCGGGCTGGGACGAGCTCCGTACTCGTTGAGGGACTCATCCAGAGATGTCACAACTTTGCAACCAAGACAAGCCTCCAGTTGCTTGATTTCATCTTCCAGCTGATCTTGTGGAGACATGTTCTTCTTCTTCAGCCTGATGTTAATACCAGACGCCGTCAAGCCTAAAATTCTCGGACCACCATCCGTGCGGGCACGTAGAAAGATACGCATAATTTGCCGATAAGGATGTTCCTCTCCCCCTGCGTGATGGCATTCGTCAACGATTAGCCGATTAATATGTTTTGGCACTAAAAAATATTCGAACCATCATGCGACTGCACTTTTTAGTTATAACGAATGTTTGGTATTTCACAACTGACCATTCCAGCAAATAAAAACTATAACACCTGCTAGAAAACAGATCTGGATAGCAATCAAATCAACCCGGGATAGTTGTTTCTACGTACACAGAAATGCCTTTTCCAGCAAATATTTCAGTACATCTGGTACCATTACAAGGATCTTCTTCGTCCGAAATTCGTTCTGCCATCCCGATTTATCCAAATCATCGATGTTTTCCGACGAGCAGTACTCTGAAAAGTATAAGTATCAGGCGATAAGCAAACATGATTTTTGCCTCTCACAGTTTCCACGGAATTTCCTTACTTCCGACGCTAAGCCCAGTATGTCTGCAAAGAACGGTTCCCTGCTGCTCCACAAGAGCGACTAAAATAAATCGAGCAATGCTCATTGTGTGCGAACGTAAGTGAACGTTGGGAAGCAACCTGTTGGAACAAGGAAAACTGATCGTTTGCCTCCGTTTTCCAAATCCTCTATCAATTCATGACGTTCATGCTGTATGACCTGGACTGCAATGTAAGTCTTTCCAGTACCTTGATTAACATATTAAACGTTAAATGCATCCTCTTCTACAGAGTAAACAGTAAATGCAAGCAACGTAAAACACAACTAAATAATTAAGTAAAATACTCGTACCAGTTCCGAGCACGCAGATAATGTCCTCTTTCAGTGCTTTTTGAATCAGTTCATCCTAAAATAAAAACAGATCGACGTTCGGAATTTCCAGTAGGACTAAACTTTTATACCCTAGCTGCTCAGGAAAAATGGCAGCAGAAATCTACAAGCTAGCAAAACTGCAAACGCTCTGTGGTAAAGTAAGATTTATATCAAACAACTACATGCAATAACCATCAACATACCAGCAATATTTAAACTTTATAAGACCCACACTATCCGGCTATCATTTCAACTTACCTGATAAGGACGAGCTATAAACTTCTCCGTTGATGATTGTATGGCTGACATGATTCTAATATTGTATCTTCCAGAATCCAGACGCCGGAAGGCAAGTACACCTAGTAGTCACGCTGCAGGAGTTTTCGCCATCCAGTGAGTTGAAGCAGCAACTGCACGCAAACCTTTGTTAATAAGCGCAGAACCGATAAACGCGCGGGTTTTGATGAAGACAATAATAATATTAATGTTTTCGATATTTCTATGCTAGAATAAACGGATAAAGAAAGAACACTCCTTATCAGTATGCTAATGATGTCACAGCTGATGATTGATGAAGCAGGCCGAGTCGCTGGAAGCCAGTTTTAAAGTGCAACTATCAAGCCCAGAGCCACAGACTGATCGGGCGGGTCTGACGCCGGCACCGTGCCGGTGTGCTGACCATGAGTGCTCCACGAATAAGCGAGTTTTTGTATTCGCTGATCGCACGGTATTAGCAAACTCCATGAAATTAAAATTTAAAGTACAGTAGTGGACTTCATAAAGATGAACTTCCTCATCATGGATACAGTACGCATACTTCGAAGCATGTATGATCTTGACCCGTTGGGTAATCTTTTTTGCCGCTTCCGGCTGCCTTTGCACTTCGACGATACTGTGTTTGACAACTTGTAGTAGTAAACTGTTAAAACAAAAAGACTTGCACTTCCAATAATGCCCTTAGCTGTATTCTGTAACAACTCGAACTAACATCGGTACAAAAAACTAACATTGGTACATATGTAGCTGGTACACAAAACAAAAACATCGGTATTTTCTCCTAACCTAATGGCTAACTGTAAGCAATGCGTTACTGCATTTCCGCGCAACTTACAGCCTCACCCAAGCAAGTGATCATTGTTTTCATTACCAACCATCGTTCTCGAATGTTTCAACCATGCACTGATGTCAAGAATTGTACAAACAAATCATTATAATTCCACCAACGAAAACAAGCATGTTTAATCCTTGTACTACACAAAATGGAAAATCGAAACCTTGAGTGAACCACTTATCGATGACGAGAGAATACAGAGAAAAAATTGTCAAAAAACAAAGAGATCAACCTCCGCGCAGACGCAGCACCAAGTGCAGAGTGGACTCTTTCTGGATATTATAATCACTCAGGGTACGGCCATCCTCCAGCTGTTTACCAGCAAAAATCAGGCGCTGCTGGTCAGGAGGAATTCCCTCCTTATCCTGAATCTTAGCCTTGACATTCTCAATGGTATCGGAAGGCTCCACCTCCAGGGTGATGGTCTTTCCGGTCAGGGTCTTGACGAAGATCTGCATACCGCCGCGGAGACGAAGGACCAAGTGGAGGGTGGACTCCTTCTGGATGTTATAATCGCTCAGCGTGCGGCCATCTTCCAGCTGCTTTCCGGCAAAGATCAGGCGCTGCTGGTCAGGAGGAATTCCCTCTTTATCCTGGATCTTAGCTTTAACATTCTCAATGGTGTCGGATGGTTCAACCTCCAGCGTGATGGTCTTTCCGGTCAGGGTCTTGACAAAGATTTGCATACCTCCACGCAGACGCAGGACCAAATGAAGGGTTGATTCTTTCTGAATGTTGTAATCGCTCAGTGTGCGTCCGTCTTCCAGCTGCTTTCCGGCAAAGATCAGGCGCTGCTGGTCAAAATTGAATCCTATGATTTTAATTCTTTGTCATGGTTCAACCTCCAGCGTGATGGTCTTTCCGGTCAGCATAATAAAGTTGCATACCTCCATTGTCCAAATGAAGGGTTGATTCTTTCTGAATGTTGTAATCGCTCAGTGTGCGTCCGTCTTCCAGTTGTTTACCTAATAACAAAATTAATAAAAGTGAAGCCTATGATTTTAAAGCTTTTCAAAAAGTAATTTTAACGATTTTTTTAGCATAATAAAATTGTCATATTGTCATTATTGTGTGAAGTAAGCAGCAACACGCACTGCAGCTGCATGAGTAAGACTGTAAAAGCAAAACTTACCAGCAAAGATCAATGCTGATCTTGCCCGTCAGCGTCTTGACGAAGATCTGCATACCTCCACGCAGACGGAGGACCAAGTGGAGAGTGGACTCCTTCTGGATGTTATAGTCGCTGAGGGTGCGGCCATCTTCCAGCTGTTTACCAGCGAAGATCAGACGCTGCTGGTCAGGCGGGATACCTTCCTTGTCCTGGATCTTGGCCTTGACGTTTTCAATGGTGTCCGATGGCTCGACTTCGAGGGTGATGGTCTTTCCCGTCAGAGTCTTGACAAAGATCTGCATGCCACCGCGCAGACGCAGCACCAGATGGAGGGTGGATTCCTTTTGGATGTTATAATCGCTGAGGGTACGTCCATCTTCCAGTTGTTTACCTAAAAGCAACGAACACGTTGATCAAATTGCCCATAGCATAATTTGTGAATTATGTAACTTGTAAAGGCTATAATAAACCAATAAACACCGTATTATGCGAGGTTACATAAACTGATAAACACGACGTTTCTGGCGACTTCACTGTACGATGCATCGAATTCAACGAACGCACGACGTGTTGGATCACGTTCCGTTTTCTCTGTTCATGGAACTTACAGAAATCGATTTTTCTTATAATTACGTCAGCAACTTCCAAATTTTTGAATCAAATACTCAATTACAATTGTTCAAAAAATGGAAAACCAATAAAAAACCTTCAAAACGAAAAAACCGTTAGCCTAAAAAATGGAATTCGATGAAAAAGAACAGTTTCCGAGGAATTTCAGATTTGATTCGTAATGGCTCAAATTAATCGACTTCATTGCTGGTCCAGTTTTCTCAGGAATCACAAGTCTGATAGTCTTTAAATTAATTGATTTCTTACCAGCAAAGATCAGTCGCTGCTGATCGGGGGGAATGCCCTCTTTGTCCTGGATTTTGGCCTTGACGTTCTCGATGGTATCGGAAGGCTCGACTTCCAAGGTGATGGTTTTACCCGTCAGAGTCTTGACGAAGATCTGCATGGTGGATGGGTTTTTTTAGGAACTAGGTTTAATGAAAAGAGGAAATAGTACAGAGCTATTTCAAAGGTCACTGGCAACAATTAAAACGCTACGATACAGTCATACAGAGCACAAAAATCTGCAGTTTAGAAAGCTTGGCAACTTCTCTCCAGCGTAAAACACTTGTGAGTTGTGACTGACGGATCGCTATGCAGAAACATGGTTTTTATTCGGGCTTCTACCCAGCTTGCTGTATCATACGCGCTACATGAACGGCATGAACATGACTGTGCGTTTTACGGGCCAATCAGACGCGTCGAAGGATGAAATCGCATCCGTAGGGTTGGACAACGCGATAATCATAAAGAACTCGAGAAATTTCTATGACCGACAATCTGACATACACCTGGCTAATTATTAGTCACGCAAATATTAATTGAAACAATTGTTTCTTCGAGATTTCTTCGAGCAAGTAATATTTGGTTATCTGTTTCTTTGATTTCCGCAATTGTTTGCTATGAATTGTATCCACTATGAATTGTATCCACTATGAACTGTATCCACTATGAATTTTTAAGCAGCGAATATCTATGCAAATATTGTACAACGGGGAAACGCGATTTGTGTAATGGGTACGATCCCCGATCAAGATAGCATAGAGGAAGTGTTTCTGTTATAAATGCTGTTTCGTTTTGGTACATAGTTTGTACTCGTATCATGATACTTATTAAAGGTTAACCCCTTCCACTATGAGTCTATGACGGATGACCACAAAGGACGCAATACAAACAGCCCAGACATGAAAACCAGCTCATAACAGTTAGTTTTTTATTATTATATGCTTTCCTGACGTCGAAAAGAAAATACAAAATTAATTTATAAATATCAGAAAGCAAAAAATAAAACTAACAGTTTTCTTTAGCTTTGTTCACTTTTTTCTAATACTCGTATAAATAATCTAAGACAGGCAGGAGTACTGCCTACTGCTTCATTACAGACTTGGAGACTTCTATATAACTCATCTTTACTGTATATGTAAGAGTATTCATATTAGATTATTATAATTTTAGGACATACCAGTGACTCATACCACTAATAAATTGTACGATCGATACTTGTATGCTTCGTTGCTCATAATCTACTTCAAAAGGTGAATATTAAATCAAAATGTGCCGCTGTGTCCTTATATCATACAGTTCTATATATAATATCCTATAATCTATATACAGTAAGTAATACTTTTAGTTGCTACGGAAAATTTCTGCGGAAAGTTTCTTTTAAAAAAATTATAATAATGACATTCGTATACTTAACATTATTATGTGTTCGTGACCTTAAAACGCCGGTAATATTTGTCGGTATTAATAAGTACTAGCAGATAAGCAAAAACACCCATTGCGCAGTCCCGAACATTTGGCAAACAGTTGCAGCACAGAAAAAAATGCGCCTAGATAATTTTCCGGCCCCAGTTGTAAAGAAAAAACGCCGCTAATGGCAAAGCTCTGACAATCTGTCGCAGTCTTTTATGTGTAAATAACTAATTGTGTAACAAGTTCAGTAAAGAGGTGAGAATAGCCGAAAGAGGTATCCGAAGGCGGTGGCAATAGTCAAAAGGTGGTGTCAGAATTCATTCTTAAAAGGTGGTGCGAATAACTAAATGGTTGGTGAAAGGTCGTGAGAATAGCCAAAAGGTGATGCGAGGTGGTGGAAACAGCCACATGACCCACATCCGACTTAGTAGTTTATATGATCTGTGTAGCATATGGAATTACGAACAAGAAGACTGTTTGCAAATTTTATCATTATTTCAGACGATCCACTTCCTTATTATATACAGAACAACTGCCATCGATATCGGTTCACTCTCCATAATGTAATCGTACTGCAAGTTGGTGCAGATGTCAGGTTTCGATATTTCGTATCAATAATAAACTATTTACTATCCCAAAACCTGAAACTATGTAAACGCAACAAGTATTTTTATTTGGGTACGAACTCGCATATTTTTATTGATTTCACATTTTACACAATCGAAGCTCTCTGGGCGTGCATGTGCCGGTACATACGAATGACGTGATACGAGAAGCCTTAGGGTTATCCATTTTGCAGTATCAGTACAAAAATCCGTTGAAAACGGCAACAAAAGTGTGCAAATCGACGGTTTCACTTCGGTCCATGCCCTAGTGCTTTCTCCATGGAGTTATTGCTGTCGGGAACGTACTCGCTCTGGGCTTTTGCGGCCGCGGTTTTTTCGGGATCGATGTCTTGTACATCCTTAATGGACCGCTCTTCCGTGCCATCTTCCTGTAAAACCCGCGCCGTAAAAAATTTATCGCCATAACAATGTGATTAATATGTTAGACAGGTACATGGACCAACAGTAGTTCAATAAACGGTGGAACACGTATGTTATTATTTAACAGAACGTACATACTATATAACAAAATTCTGATAATTACAGAATAGAGTAATTCCGTTAATACACCTAAAGTAAATAAACAAGTAGCTATATTTACTACGGGTACTATAGCTGGTCACTTGTTCGTTGTTACCCTACTAGGTTAGCGGCAAATAAGAAAGGTCAATTAATAGCAGCTCCGTTAGAGGGCGAAGAACGAATGCATTAGCTCCGCACACATTAAAATTTTAAGATTCAGAAACTTAAGGAAATTTTAAAAACACAGTTTTCAACAGTACTGTATGGTTTATCTGTATGAGCAGTATCAGTGCTGCAATGTGAAAGAACGCACTTATAACTGAGGCCGATGCAGTGAGTTTCTGACTGGACTAAGAAGTTCTGGCCAGCAAGTTAATTATTTTTGAAAACTAAGCTACCCTTGTTCCAAAAATACTAAATAATTAAATCATTAGCTCGTTGGTGATCTACTTACGCCTTTGGCTGGAGGACCTCCTTGCTTGGTCTGCTTATCCATTTTACAAAGTAACAGTTATTGAGAAAAATCGCTCAGATTAAAGCAAAGCTTTATTAAGAACATGGAAAGCCGAATGATCTGGTGAACTTTACCATCGTCTCACTTTATACCCCGGAATGTCGTTGCAGTTAATCCGTAGACAGCCTCCGCGGAACATTTCCCGGCTGGCCGGAAGCTACCGAAAACTCTGCAGTTGGCGGGTTGCAATACGCGGTGTTATCCATAAACACACCCTCTTTTAAACCGATGAGACTGCATTTCGCGATGGGGACTCGCTGAAACATCGGGGAGGTGTGATACAGGCTGACCCGGCATCTTTGTGTTAATATTTGATGACTAACATGATTCTATTTTAAGATATTCGGATTTGGAACCAACGGAAGTTGCCGCTATGCAGTGCATTGCATTCTAAGTAGTCCGCTCTGTAATCCAAAATTTATAAATCGCTGCTGAACATTTAAAAATAATAAAGGTTTTGCAAAAAGTACCAAACGAAAATTAATACTGTAGAATTTGCCTGTTACAAATTTACAATTATACAATAATATTTGCTAGTAAGCATACGTGTCGGTTGCTGACAAGAGAACGTAGATAACAGACGTGCGGTTAATTATAATTGGCAGTAAAGTTTCAATGTCCACTGGACTTCCGAAACAGATGTATTCGAAAAATTTAACTAGCCGATAACCATCACTACATTGAGAGGATTCTAAAGCCCTTTATTCTATGAAAATTGGTTAAGGGGAACAGAAGTCAGCCGCCGAAAACGAAAATCCTGGCGCAGCTCATTAGTATTCGTATAACAAGGACCCATTTGCAGAAATGCGAATAAGAATAATTAATAATTGGGAAAAATTCATAAAAACAGGGCGACTTACTGAGTAAATTGTAAGTACTGAGTTTTTAAGTATCGTTGTGATAATTGCGTTAAAGCTAATCCAGTGTAAACGAGAAATAATACATCGTGTTAACGCTGGCATAAATAAATTTAGTGCAGTAATAAATGGTTTTGTCGCACGCTTATACACTACACAGTACACACTACACAGTACATGGTTTGTGCACAAGAATACAAGAATGATTTCACCTACTCCGCTACTCGTAGTCGTATTCTGAACAGAAAATTTTGCGATGCAGGTGATTTACAGTACTTTTAAAGACGCTATTGTCTACGTACTTTATCTTAGCAGAATATTGTTGATGACTCATGTTTCACTCTGATGTTTAAATTTGTGCATTTCGGATTTTGATCGAAAGTTTTTGAAGTAAATAATCGGTTATACATATGGTCCATAAGGGTCGGTGAAAGTTAAAAGCCGGAAAGCAATATTGTTTCCTTTATTACAGCCATTTCCGATGCGCAAATCGCACAAAATTAATGCAGTTTAAGTGACGTATAAAATTACAACAATTACAATAATATCGAACATATTTTGTACATATCACACTTTCGGAAAGATATGTACAACCGCAGGGGTGTTTATTGACATTCGTGAACGGTGTCACATTAAGGTCACTTTAAAAGTAAATTGTCCTTTGACGTGAACTGGTGCCGACAAGCCTTATTCCGTTTCGCTGCGTCGACGGTTCTGTTGCTGGTTTTGGAAGTCCTGGAGTCCTTCCGGTTGGCGGCCCAGAGCGCGTTCCATGGAGTTGTTCTTGTCGGGATAGTATTCGGACTGAGCTTGCTCGGCATCGCACGTCTCCGCATTAATGTTCGCTACGTCGTTAATAGCGCGGCCAAGATCCATGTCGTACTATAATTATTAATAGAATTATGTTTTCTCATGCGCGTTTGATGCATTGATCGGATTATTCTGAATTCCACAAGACTACCACACATGTAAGATCCTGATGTAGATACATGCACTGTGAACACAAAAACTGAAAAAGAGAAATGAAATACAAAAAATTCCCACACATTAGGTAAAAAAAGGAAATAGGGAACGACCTTTGAATGCACCATATAATATGGAATCATTCAAACTCTGAGATTATTATTAACATGTTTACTGCGTTATACTTTGCATTGTACTGCCAGCGAAATTTACCGGTGCAACCGCGATTTGATTAAATGGAAAGGATTTGAAAAATTAACCAAGTTTATGGCGAATACATTTAATTATAGAGTAGTTAATAGCTAGAGCAATATTAAACTGCCACTACGTACCGCACCGCCACGGAAAGCCGCTGGTTCACCACCGTCACGCGATTGCCGGTCCATGGTAAAGAAAGGTTACGACGGAGTATCAACTGTTGTATCTCAGACAGAAAAACCAGATCAAAGCGATCAGACTTAATTTAAGTATTCAATTTGCAGTTTTCAAATTAACGACGTTCCGTACATCACCCGGTGTTTTTATAGCCGCTGGACGATTTGTTTAGATGCCAAAAGTTACCCATTGACTTTGCATATACTCGTATATATATTTTGCTTCTGCGTATTGCTTATATATACTTTGCTTCTGCGTATTGTGGAAAGATCATCAGATTCTATGAATATTCGCACTAGTCTGATGGGTCATCTTGTCAACGGTGTCCCATATGATTTTCTAAATTTAGTTTGTTATAACCATTGCGTAAACACAGCCGGCTTTCTCAGTTACAAATGAGGCGTTCGATCGGCATGGCATGGTTCGTTAATATGGCATCTTCCGATGCCAAAATATGCATCTGACGGATGTTGTTGAGGGTTGATCATTAGTGAGAAGCGCAGACGACTGAAAACGAAAACAATCTCACATGTAAGCGCGTGTCAGAAGAAAGATAAAAAAGATACAAAATGTCTTGCACTGTTCTGTTCGATTTTGGATCAAATTATTTTTGTACTGTACTGGCCAAACGGCAAAAGAAGTCGATTGTGTTCGGCGGTTATTTGCGTTTACGTATTGCACAATTACGCACAATTTTTTAATGTACGTACTCGTATCTGACATTGCTACTACTTAAACATAAAAAAGAAATATCTGTCACCACTAGTACTTAAGCATTTAACATAGGTCAGTGTAAAATTCCTTGGCGAACGAAATTCTACAGTAAGGTAGGTTTCTTTAGTGTTCGAATTAGTATGAATACCTTAGTAAGCAATTAAGCAAAATTCTACATAAATTATGATTATAAATTCTGCAGAGTACAGTATAGAGAGTCAATCCTCGATATTCGAATTATGCAAACCAGTTGCTCTGTAACCTGCATAACATGCGCGATATCGATATTGTTCATGAATTATTCAAGCTGGCCAGATGGAATACTGACAAGAAGAACACCTAGCTTTTGCATGAATGGTCTTTTTTCAATCTACAGATTTACAGACCCGGTCCCAAAAGCCGTTTTCAGAATTACTGTAAAACTGGAGACCAAAATCGCATAAGGCTGTCCTGTGCTCCTTTCTTAATTCTCGGGCTCAGTTTAGCGGATTCGCGCAGCAGTCATTTGTGATACAGACTGGATAGATTTTCCCCCAAAGAATGCCAACAATATATTTTTAGAAACTGCACCGAGCTTATATTCAGTAACAACTATAAAACAGTTGTCGGCCGAGATTAGAAGTGGCTATTGCCGCAGCTGAGAAGGGTTCCGAGTTTCGTTGCATTGAAGTAGTTATATGAATGCTGTACATCTCTTGCAGGTTTTCGGCCTCTCCCGTTTGTTACCTACATATGTTCTCAGCTTCCACTGAGCCGATTTTGCAGCTTTAAATTTTCACAGAATCCTTTCAAAACGTAGAGTAAAACAAAGCTAGTAGTTTTTTCACTCTCACAAGCAGGATAAGCCCAGTGGTCACTCAAAGGCTTGTTGCCATGGATGCCATAGGGCTAACATACGCTTGTCTGTCACCACGGCCAATTTAGGGTTTAACAAGAAACAGCTTTGGCTTCGCCTCTGCGTTTCTTGTGGACCACGTACCGAGTGAACGAATGATTCGGTTAGTTATAGAATAAAATGAAAACTAGCAGCCAAGGCACAAGCGAAACAAACTTTAATGGCGAAAGGTCAACATTTGTAGAACCGGGCATCAGATCTAGATACTGGCCTGATCGACCTCACCTCATAAGAAAAAGTGCCAACTGCTAACGTAATAGATAATAGGCTGACTCGAAAGGCACTTTAAATGCGTTCTGTAAGATACAGAGCCGAAAGTTCTGTAAAAGTGAATTTACCAATCCTGCACCACTGAATCTTACAGAGCGTTACAGAGCATCGAGACTAACTCAGAATGTGTGCCCGTACAGTTACTAGTAATTCGAATTAATTTTAAATTTATCTTTCACCATGTGTCGGTGATTTCAGATAAGTCACACTTTGTTTTGCTTTTCAACACTTCTTTTTTGACACGTAGTTTCCTTTCCTATTTGTTAGATTTTTACAAACGTGTTCCAATATGAGTTCTCGTAAAAAACTCCTGCGCGACTTGCAAACCCTTTGTGAGCTGGAGATCGCTGGAAAAGCGCTCGATGAGTCTTCGAGCAGCATCAGTAGCGACGACTCATCTGAAAGTTCCAGCGAATCGTCAGAGAGCGAAACAGATCAGATCCTGGAATTCACTGCCTTTTTATCCAGTAAACGATTTGTTTTTGACCGAACCGTTGTCCCGAAGAGGCATGACTGGATGGAAAAACTGGAAGTTGCCAGTGATCGAAGCCTTTTTCTCGAAGAAGCGTTGCAATTTCCGCTGCGATCTGTCTTTTACTATCTCCAGACACACGTTTAGTCTTTCCCGGACCAGTAGGCACAGCAGTGGACTTCCACCTGTCGTAATTGCCAGGCTCCGTAAGCCATGCAATTAACAAGTCTGCGCATTCTTTCTTCCAACTAAAGCGGGGTCTTCGCGTGCTCATTCTACACTATTCTAATAGCGTATCAATATGTTAACTTCAAAATCCAAGGTAAACTAAACTCAATTTAAATCAAAATTCAAAGGAAAACTCAAAACTCAATTTTCTACGTACAGTTGGCACATGAAAAAATTCACAACGAAATCTTTTGACAAATTATTCTTTTGACTTGGTCACTTGTGGTGAAAAAAGCGAGTTCTGTATCATAACGGAGCAGGAGAGTTCCTTTTAGATACAGAACACTTTAACTCGGTCGTCCAATCAGAGGTAGGGGGGTGTGATCGAAAAATTACAGAACTTCCGGCTCTGTATCTTACAGAACGCATTTAAAGTGCCTTTCGAGTCTAGCTAATGCCAGTAAACGTCCGATTGTTGACTAGTCACCAAACTAAATGCAGAAACAGGAAAAATTTCAGCTGATTCAAACGCAAGTTGACCGCAGAGCATTCTCGATGTCACCAGTTAAATCTAATAAACTGAAGGCGACCTGTTGTCTTATACTCGTATTGAAATTAACTGGTTTCAAACAAATTCATAACTGCTGTTAAATAACTACTGCTTCCTCGAATACAGTCATAACTGCTAAACTATGAAATCGTAACTACTGTCTCCTCGAACACACTGCAACTTTTGAATTTAGTCTATTTACCCAGTCGTAAGCCAATATTCATCCGTGCTCAGCTTGTTAACTACATCCGTAACAACCGTGACAGAGTAAGGTTAAAAAACCTATGTTTGGGAGAACGGGTAGGCCGATTTCAACGCGGTCAAGTTCGCCAGAACCGCTGCAACGCCCCGGTGGATGTTACGCTATTACCGAGACGATGCGCCTCGAGGGGAAAAAAGGGGACCGGAAAGGAAAGTTGTTACCATGGGCCTCCATAGACATACATGGACAAGTTGTTCCCATGTGCGTAAATGACACAACACGCCTCGGCCAGCGGCCTCGATGCGAACAAAAACAAAATTAATTAATCACCAAAAGCCGACGCCGATAAATTGGTTACGGATGTAGTCCTCCGTAAACTGGTTATCTACATCCGTAACCACGTATACACGATTGATAATGTAGCCAATGTTTGGGCGAACGGCTGAACCGATTTCAACGCGGCCAAGTGCGTTAAATTTGTCTCAACGGCGCGAATGTTCTTACGCTATTGCGCCATCGATACGCCCCAAAAGGGAAGGAGTAGCCCCAAAAAACAAATTGTTGCCATGGGCCCCCATAGACATACATGGTAAATGCATTGTTTGTTCGCGAACCGTTCGGAAAAACCGAGACAGACCGCGACCTTGGGCATCGGCACGTTACAAAGTATTGAAAATTTAAGATGTGCAAAAATTAATCGCAGTCAATCCCACCAGCGTGATCGGTATACCTCATATTCTTTCATATACGATATTTCTTAGATATCTTAGGTTTCTTAGATTTTTTAGGTTTTCTTAGGTTTCTTAGGCTTCTTAGGTTTCTTAGGCTTTCTTAGGGTTTCTTTGGTATTCTCAGGTTTCTTAGGTTTCTTAGGTTTCTTTGGTTTCTTAGATTTCTTGGGTTTCTTAGTTTCCTTAGGTTTCTTAGGCTTTCTTAGGGTTTCTCAAATTTTTTTAGATTTTCTCTTTCTTAAATTTCGTAGTTTTCCTAGCGGCTGGGACCAATGCGATCAACCGTTGCGAAGTGTGCATTTCGTAACAAATCTGCGCCGCAAAAGTTTGTGTACGGATGTAGATCCCGTAAACTGGTTATATGAATACTAAACATCTCTTGCAGGTTTTCGGCATCTCCCGTTAGACCGCGGTAATCTCACCTTCTACCCATCCGATTTTACTGCTTCAAAGTGTTCTAAAAACGTCGCGGTCTGGCGGGTGATCTAAGGCCAGTCGTTGTTTGCTATCTTCACAATATCAAACCCAGTGGTCACTCAAAAGCATGTTACCATGGATGCCATAAGGCTAACATGGCTGGCCGGTTACCACGGGCACATTATATACTGCACTCAAATAACAAGAAAAGCTTCGGCTTTGCCTCTGCGTTTCTTCTGTTTACGGGCTGAGTGAACAGATAATTTCGGCCACTTTACTGGCTAAAGCAGCTTATTAATTCGGCAATTTCAGAATACGGCAAAATGAGCAGAGACCTACCAGGCGAGCAAAAAACAAAACAAGCCCTAGGTGTTAAAGGTCAACAACGCAGTACGCACGTCGCGGACAACCATCCTGAGCAGTTGTTTGGCTTTTCCATTCCGACTTTTCGGGAAACTAAATTACATCCTAAACAATAATACGTATACTGCATATGAAATACAAAGTTTTCTTAAAATCGTCGTAAGCCAATATTCATCCGTGCTCAGCTTGTTAACTACATCCGTAACAACCGTGACAGAGTAAAGTTAAAAAACCTATGTTTGGGAGAACGGGTAGGCCGATTTCAACGCGGTCAAGTGCGCCAGACCCGCTGCAACGACGCGGTGGATGTTACGCTATTACCGAGACGATGCGCCTCGAGGGGAAAAAAGGGGACCGGAAAGGAAAGTTGTTACCATGGGCCTCCGTAGACATACATGGACAAGTTGTTCCCATGTGC